CGAATCCGGTGGCGGTGGGCCTCGGGCCACCCGGATCTGGAGGCGGGGGCGGGCGGCGGCGGAACCGGGGTTGGCGGCGGCGGGAGCGGCCGACGACGACGCGGGTGGCGACGGAACTGGGGCGGGCGACGACATGGTCGGCAGCGGCGGGCCTCGGGCCGCCCGGATCTGGAGGCGGGGGTGGGCGGTGGCGGAACTGGCGCGGGCGGCCGGCCGGCTAGGGTTTCCCTTTTTTTTTAATTTTATTTTTTTTCGCAATTTTTTCTCTTTGCGTCCGCATGTTCGCATGCGGTTGCTCTGGCCGCATGCAAAGATCGTCATCCTTGCAGATGATTTCGCGCATATGGTCGGACCAACCGCATGCGAAAATCGTTTTCGTCCACATGCAAAGACGACTTCTGTAGTAGTGCGACGCACCCGAGCGCTGCCGTCCCTGCTCGAACCCGTGCGGCGTGACCAACTGACCACCACCAGTTGAACCTGTCGAGACGATGTTCACGCTGTACATTGCACGCACTCACCTGCGTCACCGCCAACAGCGGCGCGCCACCGGTACCGCGCCGCGCGTCGCCGGGGTGCCCCTACACTTCTGTCACGGCGCTATCGCATGGTTTGGAGTTTCTTGCTTGGAGCATGATGAAATTAAGAGGACTAGCATCTGCCAAGTATTTTTGTTGGAGCTTCTTGGCTTCCTTCTCAGTCGTCCAGTCTCTAGTCCATCGTGTGAGATTAATTCTTGACCTCGGCCTCGTCAACCTCTCCAACAACAGCATTACAGCACGGCATCTCCATATGAAAAATGCTTCTTCGGCATGGGAGCTTGACGAGGCTGGCGAGAGCGGAGGCCGAGGAGGTGCACACCGTGCCGTCCCCAAGCCGCCGCCGTTGCTTCGCTGGGAAAAGAGGAGACAGAAGGCATGTCTCTTTTTTTTATTATTTTTTTAGCGAGGGTATTTTTTACCTAGCATTTACCTCCAACGGATATATGCACCTTTTTAAATTAGTAACTTGCCATTTAAATAGCCCAATCTAAAATTGGCTCCTATAAAAAAGATGGCATGTTGGCTCCACTTTTTTTCCTCGGACTTACAAGCAGGTCCTCGAGTTTATGTGTACGAGTTGCCATGGGATGGTGCGATTCTTTTTACTTTTTATTTTCTGATCATAGTTTTATAGGTCTATAATCTTAACATCTTAAACTACTTCCTCCGTTTTATATTATAAGTGGTTTAAAGTTTTTCTTATTCAAACCTTTTTAAAGTGTAAAACAAACTTTGTGTCAAAATATATTTAATACTAAATTTAATAAAACTAATTTAGTGTTATAGATTTTGCTAATTTTTCTATAAACTAGGAAGGTAGCCCGCGCGAATGCGCGGGCTTGTATTGTACACTGCGTTTGAAAAATATATATAAACAGCAAAATAACCAACTGATACCTGCCATGTTTAAAAGTACTATTTTTTTGAATAAGACACATCAGGTGAGTCCTCTGCTGTTCATCGGCATTTTGCTTTGATAATTTTTTCAAGATATTAGTTAGGTTCTAAAATATATAGTATTTAATACATCCGTATAAATAATTATCTATGATCTTTTTTATTATATAGAAAGAAGTTCGATTTAGTTTGTTTGGAAAACATGTCTAGCAAATCAAGTGTAAATTAGAAGAAAGGCATTTTGTCCCCTTTTTTTAATAGAATGTTTAGTTGCTTTTTTTAACAAATTCTAAAGAACTATTATTGTTAACAAATATGTTTTATTTGTACCATCAAGTAGTTCTCCTTCTAGTTGGATTAAGTTGATGCAAATTGTTACATGCTTATATATAAACTAATAAAGACATGCCATATACCTCGCTTCCTTGTGATTTGTGTGATCTATACTATCTTTTTTCAAAAGAAAATACCTAGTTAACATGAATCTAAAATTTTAAATTTAATAGTAACAAATATAACTTTTCAATGAACTATATACTGCGAACCTTAGTGCGGTTTATATGTGTAATAATATGTGGAGAAACTCATAATGCTAAGATATAGGATAGATGTAAGGCCATTAATGTCTAAGTATTTTAAAATTATAACGAAAATGGAACATGCAATGGTTGGTCCAATTTTAGTGAAATGTAAGAACCAATTTTTTTAGAACTAGTTAAGTTTTCTCTAAATAGTTCAATTTAGTCCCTATTGACATTTTCTTTTACTTTCTTTATTTTATATTTTATACCAGTTGGGTTTATGGATCTTTAAATAATGTGTTTAATTGTAAATACAACAATATTTAGATTAGAAATTAGATGTGTAGATTGAATTTTATGCATGTTTTAATATTTTTATTATTATTTCTCGCTATATAAACAGGAAAGAATAGAGTGGAGAGCTCAAGCCGAGAAGGGATGGGACGAGCAGTGTCGTGTTGTGCGTATGTGTGGGGGAGGGTGAAGTGGAGGTGTGGTTTTTTCTATTTTATCTAAATGATTTAAGTGAAACCGATGATCTATTTTTTCTCACATTTTCTGTTATTTTTCCTAATTTTAAGAACGTAACACATAGCGGCTTAAGATTTTCATAAAAGTATATCTATTGGTTAAAAATAATGGACCTACCTATTTAAGTGAAAACTGATCGTCGGATGATTTTTCTTCCAATTTGTAAAGTTTTATTTTTATTTAAGGCGTAACACATGACGTCTTAAGTGCACTCAGAGCCTTAGAGGATGTACAATAATTTACAGTAATATAGTACTTATTTTATTTTATATTATGTTATGTTTTATAATACTTATTTTGATTTACGGTGTCTATGTTTAAATGACATATTTTCATTTTCATAGAGTGAAATACGTGTAACATAGATCTTAATTATTTATTTAATTATAAATAAGACAAAAATTGAAATAAATTAACATTATGATTTAACTTAAGAATTATAATCATTTAGCTTTCTAATTATTGATCTTTTTTTTTACTTAGTTAAATATTAGGAGATAAAGGAATTAAATGAGAGAGGAGAGGAAGAGAGAGTTGAAGGGAAGAGATTACACGTGCATAAAATTGTAATAATTCTTTTTACTGGGTTGTAGTGTTTTAGTTGCTATAATTTTTTTAACTAAAAATTGAAAATGATTTATTGATTGATTAAAATCTATCCTTTTACTTGCCTATTTCAATATATTCGCAGTAGATTTTAAAAATACGAACACTACAATCTAATAATGTTATTTTGACTTATTCTAATGTTAGAATGGGGGAGTAATTTTTTAAAACATTAAAATCTATATCATCATCTTTCTATAATTTTATAGTTGTACGAATGGCACACAAAAATCAAAAAATATAGCCCCAAAGTGACATATTTCTTCTCAAAGTTTAGATTACAGTGGATATGGGTCTTTAAATGTAAAATAATCTAAAAACATAAGTTGATCTAATATTTGCTTTCTAACTAACATATTTTGGAAACATTACTCATAGTATATTCATTTTACTTTTATGATTGTAGACCTAATTTAATTATTACGAAGTTATGTATGATGATAAAATCTATATTATTATTATTTTATATTTTTTATAATTGCTAGAATGACACGCAAAAGTCAGAAAATATAAACCAAAATAATATTTTTTTTCAAAGCTAAATTATAGTGAAATATGGTCTTGAACTGTAAATTTAGTTATATATAATCTAAAGATTTGCACGGATGAGAAATTAGTTGTATGATTTAAAGCTTAATTGTTTAACACAAAATTATTGCTTATCTAACTAAAAATCATGAACATGGGAGAAGGAATGGGTGAAAAAGTGGAGAAAATGAATTGAAAGAAGAGGGGGCATGCATACGTACGTTCGTTTTTTCAAAAAAAAAAAAGGTAACATATACATACTGGCTTAGGTGGGCCTGGGTTTAGGAGATGTTTTTTTTTCTTGAAAATTAATCTAATGGTTGTAAATAATGGGTCCACCAAATTTAATGAAATATGTTTTGTCTTTTAGAATTATTAAGAATTTCACTAATTTATTAGAGCGTCACATGGTAACTTAGAATCCTTTATAGCATGTCATCTAGCGGATTAGGAGTATTTTAGGAAGTTTAATGGACTTTTAGTATATAATGGATACATATAATCTGATGTTCTAAAACATCGATCAGGTTTGTCAATTTAAATGAAAATCGACGGTGGTATTTACGTAAATTATAGAGTAATATGTTTTATCTTTAAATAAGGAAAACCCTTTTTTAAATATCACCAATTTTTTCTAATGGTACTAAGTAGGTATGTGTCTTTTTCTTATTGATTTTATATTTATAGTAGTTCTGTACGTAGTTTTTCTGTGTTTTTTTTCTTATTGATTATAGATTTATAGTAGTTCTGTGTGTAGTTTTTTTTTCTTCTGACTCGAATAGGAGGTAAGCTGCATTGTTTTCTTCAGTTATACGTAAGTTTCTCCCATAAACGCATAGCGAGTAAGGAATTAGTTTATTTAAAATAAAATATATCTAATCTAATAGCCTAAAATATCGGGTCACCTATTTAAGTGAAAATCTAATCAAACAGTTTAAAATATCGGGTCCACCAATTTAAGTGAAAATCGACGGTGGCGGTTTGAGAGCGTTTATAGAAAGTTTAATAGACTTTTAGTATATAATAGATTTGACTAAGAAAAAGGTCAAAGGACTTCTAATATGAAAACGGTGGGAGTAACTTTTTACTGCTATATTACGAAACTTTGCGTTGTACCTGTACAGGTTGTTTCGAAAGCAAAAATTTCATCCTATAGGAAAAAAAAACAAAAAGGATCCCTTGAACGGGCCATGATACCAACATGGGCTTTTACCAGGCCAGGCTGAACCTGCTTCTGGTCCCCGTCTCTCAACGACGAACTGCAGACCGGAAAAGTCTTCTACTTGAGCATTGATGGCGAGCACACGGCTGACGGCACAGGCAATGATGAAGCCCCCCTGTCGCGACGCGCCCGTCCGCGAGCGCGTGCCACCGAATCTCTAATCCGCCAAAAAACCCACCACAGAAAAAAAAAAAAAGGTTCTCGACTCTCCTCTCGTCTCGAGAGCAGCAACAGCAGCAGAAGAAGAGAAGAGCAAGAGGAGGAGGAGGAGATGTTCCCCGGCCTGATCCACCACCACCGCCTCCTCGACGCCGATGTCGGCGGCGGCGGCGGGGGGAGCAGCGCCGGCCTGGTACTGACGGCCGACCCCAAGCCCCGCCTGCGGTGGACGGCCGACCTCCACGACCGCTTCGTCGACGCCGTCGCCCAGCTCGGCGGGCCCGACAGTGAGCTCCTCCCTCCTCTTCCCTCCTCCGCTTTCATCTCCTCTTCACCTCACACCCTGTTTTGTGCTTGTGTTTCCTTTGGCTTGGCTGTGCGCCGGATTGGCACACGATTCATGGCGATTTTGGTTTTGGGGGGGGGGGGGGGGGGAGGGTTTGAAACTTAGTCGACCAGGCGAGGATGGATTTGGTTAGAGGTTGATCTGTTGTAGCTAGCAGCTCGATTCGAGCGGAAGAATGAATGCGGCGGGAATTCAACTTAGAGAATCCGAGCATTTTTTTTTCCTCATGCTGCTTCTTTCACATGAATCGTTGAGTTGACCCCAAGTTTGCCGCCAAATTAATCGCTGAGAATGTGCGGCTCGCTTTATGACCTTCTCTATGGCGCCATTTCTTCACGCTTCTGGTGCTACCATCTGGTATCATATATACTCTCATCTCATTGGTGTGGAAATGGGAACTTCTGTGCAACGAATTTGTTGGTTTGATTCTTGAAACGCGTAACTGTCAGTTCAGTCATTGGATAGATAGGGCGTGTGTTGATGTAAAGGTAATCGAATCTTTGATGCAAGTAAGTTCAGTTCGGAGCAATTTGGGGATTTTATTCCCTGAAAAGGCACTTTACCAGTTGTGCTTTATTACGTTGTTAGGTAGCTTTATGTTGAGATTACTCTCTTAGGGCATCTACAATGTGAGCCACTCCTAGAGAGTCCTCACTAACTGAGGGCATCCATGGAGTGGCTCTGGAGAACCGTCCTCACAGTGGAAGGTACCCCTGCCTAGTAGCTTCAAAATCTGAGGAAATTTGGGGGCACTGGTTGAAGAGACGCAGACCACAGTGGGTGTCTCGGACCAAGTAGCCATGCGCACAAATGTCGTCCGTGCCCCTCCATGGCCGCCCGTCTGTTTCGTGTTGAAGCTTTGTAGCCCATCAAGCACGTACGGTTGTTTGTCTGTTCAATAAGTCGCTTCAATATTGTTTCAAGCAAACTAAATCAGCACATACAATGATTAATGATTAACGATTCTATTTAACGCAATTCTGAGTAAATCAAACAAAAGATGTGGCCTTCAGAAGAAGCTCACCGATTTCAGATTATTGTTTAGTTTCAGCAGGTCGTCGGAGACAACCTCCAAAAGTGAAGAAACAGAAATTCGCTCAGGGATCATTGTTGTTGTCGTCGCATTAGAAATCGCCTCTGCTGGCACATCAATTGCAGCAAGGCCTGCGCAAAAACGCTAAGTCGTTAGCTCACTCCAAAACACAGCTGCTCAACAGACCAATAAGAACAAGAGCTGCAGGATGAAGAACCTGGCTGGCTCGGTGAGGCCACGAAACAAACACATGGCATGCACCGCCTCGGGGCCACCCGCATGCTAGACCGGCCGGCCCAACTGCACCGGCAGGAGGCCATCTGACCGAAATCCAGCGCCTTCCTGCTCATGTACACTCTCGGGCAGCTCACAGACAACATCTCCCACAATCAGTACCGCCAATCCAAGAAAAGAAGCTACAGCAACTTGGAGCTCCCTAGAACAGGCAAATTCTTTGGACACCAAGAACCTCTTCCCCGGACAATAACAGTCAAGAAATTGAACGAATGCTAGCTTGTGATTGGTTTCGTGTGAGAATCTTGCTCAATTTGGTGGCTATAGATTTTTTTTCCTCTCTTCCTTTTTGGCTGGGAAAGAAAAGCCGAGGGAAGTGGCGGCTCTGGATGGAGGGCGTGGGGGATTTAAATATGGAGCATGCGGAGGAGGAGAAAGCGGGATTTGTGGAGGCGCACAGGGGAGGCTACCTCCCGCCGCCGCCGCCGCGGCATCGAGGAAGGACCAGTCCTTCTCCACTACGTCCGCGACGGCGATGCCGTCTGGGAGCGCGGCAACCGGGCCGGCGCGACGGGAGGGCGGTGAGCGCGCAAGGCCATGGATGGGGGAGAGGGTGGTGTTCGCCGGGAAGGTGGAGAGGTAGGGGGAGAGGGGTGGAAGAGGAAATCTTCGCTGGGACGGTTGCCTGGAGCAACCTACCCACGCAACGGGTTTCCTTGGACCGGTGCCTGGGCGAAAAGGAGCTGGGGGTCGCGTCCCCCAGCGAGGCATCGCGTGGTCTTGCAAGGGAACGGCTTTTTTGCTTTTTTGAACGGAAGCAAACGGCGTCAGGTGAGGGGACTAGCTGGAGACACCCATTGCTGATGACCTTATGGATTGCTCACTTGTCTGATTCTTTTTACAGTTTCACATGGAGTTTTTGTTTAAGGCTTGAGTTTGCTGTTCCCGATGCAGGATGCTCCTTGTAGTGGATCAGCAGGAGTTGGTGCATTTTCTTGTTGCCCTTTTGTTATGCAAGTCTGCCTTGTTTCGTTTGAAAGTGGATTCCGGTTTGTTTCTGGCAGTGAACTTATTATTGAAGCTTTTGATAAGACAAATGTATTGATTCTGATCTTCATGCGGTTGATCAAGAAGTTTGAAGTTGTAGTTCCTGTTACTGTGTTAGTCCAAGTTTTCATATGCTAATTAAGCGAAGAAACTTAATATGGCATGGTAGTAATTGAATTTTTGGTGTAATCTTTGGTAGGTTTCAGAGAAAAAAGAATATAGGTCAGTTTCTTTTTGCAGTTTTCATGAGTTCAGATACATTATAGGAAGCTCGGAAAAAGTCCATTTTACATCCTCAAACTCTTATGCTTGTCTAAAATACACCCCCGAACTCCAAAACCGGATATAATATACCCCTCAACTGTCAATACCGGACACTTTACCCCCTGGAGCTGTTTTGCCGGTGGTTTTTGCACACATGGACGACACTTTGGATGGCACATCAGCGCACAGGATGTTTTGACCAACTTTTTCACAAGCTGCAGCGGCAGCGGCGCGGGGAAGGAGCATGTCCGACAAGCTGCTGCGGTCATCGGCGGAGGAGGTTTGCGCGCCAGCGGAGATGGCTGAGCAGGGAAGCAGCTCCGCGTGGGGAGGAAGCCACAGCAAGCAGGTGGTATTTGCGGCTGAGTCGGCCGCGGAACAAGCTTTGGCGGCACCACGCACGCTCGACGCCTTCACGCGGCCGTTCAGGCGCGCCGCCGCGAGCGCGGGGTGGAGGTTCACCATCGTGGGGACTAGGAAATATGTGTTCCCGAGAGACCTAACCAGGACGTCGTCGCTGGTCATGATGTGCGTGATCCTAGTCGCCGGGAGGAACCGCGCGACATGCTCCAATTGCTCGTTCGGGACGGTGAGGATGACCTCCTCTCCGCGGTTCACCAGCGATCGCAGCAGCCGATGGTCCGTGCCGCTGCTGAACACGCGCACATGCTTGGTCTGCTTAGACTGAACAATCTTGGCGAACACTGACGATGAGTTCTCCGGCGAAGGGATCGTGCTGGTGCCAACAAAAGTCCATGCTCATCATTGGAGTAGAAAATTCAGTGTAGGATGGGCAAACACAACAGATGATTTCTGAATTCTGAATCTCTAATTACTGGCAAAGTGCAAAAAGATAAAAGTTCAGTTGGTTCTTTAGTATAATTAAGTATGTTAATCCATGCATATTAGTAATTTCGTCAGACACAACAGGGAGGCCTCCTTTCAGCCGGTCTCGGCCACCACCTGAGCCGGCGGTGAGAACCCCAGCTGCCACCGCCGCCCCACGCCTTCTTCATTGCTTCAAAGACGCAAGACGCGCCTGCTTCCTCGCTGTTTCAAAGAACAATGAACAGGGAGAGAGAAAGAACGAATGTATAAAAGAGAACGCATTATTTCATCCGACCCGGCGAAGGAATGATGTGGCATCCGAAGTGTCGTCCACGTGTGCAAAAACCACCGCAAAACAGCTCCAGGGGGTAAAGTGTCCGGTATTGACAGTTGAGGGGTATATTATATCCGGTTTTGGAGTTCGGGGGCGTATTTTAGACAAGCATAAGAGTTCAAGGGCGTAAAATGGACTTTTCCCTAGGAAGCTCAAACTTTCTTCAATATTCATGAGTTTGAGCTGGGAATGTCCTATACTGTGTCTATGATTGTTAGCCTTGATAACCGATTCTTGCCTGTTAGCCTTGACTGTTGATTTCAGTGAATCTTTCTACAGTATTGCAGTTGTTTGACTGATTTATTTTGTTGTAAGCATATGAATGCTTCTGTGGCCCTGCCTTTTAGTTAGCTTAAGCATTCCCTTTTTCCCTTATGAGTTACTCCCTCTGTCCTAAATTACAAGGCCTACATTTTTTTTTCACGGTCTTCAATAGCATACTTTGACCATTATTTTATTCCATTCTATGTTCTCGACAAATATGAAATTAGCATCACATGAAAGGACTTCAAAATATGAATATAGTGATATAACATGCATAATAGTTAGTATGATTATTAGTCAAAAGCTACCGAGTTTGATTTTTCTTAAAAAGGGGGCACCCTATAATTTGGGACGAAGGGAGTAGGTTGTAACATCTGAAATGTGCCTTCAAGCTGTTTGGTCTCCAAAATCAAATATTAATTATTTTTTACTTATTCATTATACATCTGTATTTTCACGTATCCTCTTTTCTGGACCTAAGCCCAATCCATGCAAGTCTAATTTGTTGGTTACTTAGTTTCTAACCTTCTATAATCATATTTTGATGTGCTACTTAATTTTTTCTATAGAGGCCAGTGGTTATTTCCTGTTTGCTGTTCAGTTATCTTTTATCCATCACAGGCTATTATCTTTCTCTTGATCGTCTCGGGTCTTCTTTTTGTTACGTTTTCAGTATCCTACTTTCCTTGTTCCCTTCTTTCTAACAACATTGGTAAGAGTTTTGAATGTATGTTCTAGTTTGGGGCCAATTGCAAATGAGGTTATGAGGATGCCTTGTGGTGTGCTGCAGGGGCAAATGTTCTTCTGTTCTTGGTAGAATACCTGTTGGTATCCTAGGTGCTTGAGGTCTTCTGTTTGTGGTCTGTTTGATGCTGTTCTTTCTGTTTGCAACCTCTCTTGCACACTAAACTGCTGGCATGCTGGCATGCGTGTAGTGAAATGCTCCTTTATGTGATGCTTACTGTTATAAATAGTGTAGCCTTGTAGCTTGACATTTGGCTAATGACATGTTACTTACTCATTGCTATACTGATTATAATATTAACCCTGCAGAAGCAACACCCAAAACTATCATGAGGACAATGGGTGTGAAGGGTCTCACCCTTTTTCACTTGAAAAGCCACCTTCAGGTACTTGTCATCCATTTGTCTCACATTATCAGAAATGCAGCATTGCTCTTAAGTTTGCTACTCATACCAGAAATACAGATTAGGAAAGCAATCTGGCAAAGAGATGGCAGAGCAATCAAAAGACGGTAAGTTACAGAAACATGTTGATATGAGAAGCTGAGGCAAGTGAGCACAACCTCACTGTTAATTTCATGCATGATCATCTGACCCAAAAAAAAAAAAAGCGGCTAGGGTAAGCTACCAATTTTACCAATATAACATTCCCATGGCATGTGTATATGGTCTGACTTAAAATATGAATTTTAAAGCAAGCAAATGAGGGATTAATATGGCTCACGTACCTAGAAGCTTCCGCAAATATTTGAGTCCAACTTTAACCATTTGTAGTTGTGGACTTGAACTTTCTACGAGCAGGCTTTTGGAGCTTTACTTCTGAGAGCCACCCATCTGTAAAGCTTTTAAGAAAATATAGTTAACTCCATCTTGGCCTACCTTCATTCAGGGCCGGTTCCGCTGATTTAAGGGCCCTAGGGCGTTTTATACTCGACGCTATGCTACTATTTTTTCTTTACTTGTAAACATACTTTATAAACCATTCATCCTCTAAAGTGACACAAATAAACATTACTAACATGGCAAATCAAGTACTAACTAGTAAGACCTCACTTGCAATATGTTTTTATTCTCGATAAATAATGTTGATATTACAATCAGAAAACTGAAATAAAGAACAACAAAGAAAAAAACGAACACGCAAACTAGTGGAAAAAATGGAACTATTCATTATCCATGAGTATTTATAAGTTGAAAAACAATCGTCCTAAAAAATTGTTGAAAACAAAAGTAATTTTTAACTAAGACGCAAAAATCAACACTCATGAGAAAAAGCTCGTAAAGATAATAAGAAATCTGATATATAGACCATATTGGACTGGCCCCCTCGTAGCCTGGGCCCTAGGCGCTCGCACCTTCCGCCTATTTGAAGGTTACAATTTAAATGAACCGATTCTTTCGAGAGATTCGACCAAAATTTTTTGGCCAGTTGCAAAATACACCATGACCCACTGGTAAGATATTAAACAATAAAAAATATCTGAGAAGTTGACACACCTCTGATGTACTTAGGCATTTTCGAAGTATTTTTCTTTGAAAACTGCTGACATTAGTGGATAGACCAAGTATTTTTATTAAATACCTGTCTTGCATTACTTGCCCTCAAGTCATAATTTTTCTTGGTCACATCCAAATATAGCTAATATTGCATTTTCGTATGGGCTCATCAGTTCTATACTTTTATATACAACTTCATTTTCAATTGCAGAGTACATCATAATATGATCTAGTTACATCTATTGCTTTTTCCCAAAATTTCAGCTTCTTATATTTTGGGAGCTCAAAGTGGAACAAATCTATCTCCTACAGTTCCAACTCCAGATTTGAAAGAGTAAGCTTTGTCAGCTACATATGTAGCATGACTGTCCAAAATTCTGTCTCATTGTGTCCACTTCTAGTCAGGATATTTATGTTGCATCATTGCATGTGACATGTGTGATTTGGACTGTACTGATATTACATAGTACAAATGTACAATAACTTCTTCGTAGGAGTCAAGAACTAAAAGAAGCACTCAGAGCACAGATGGAAGTGCAACGAAAATTGCATGAACAAGTGGAGGTAAGTAAAGTTTTCTCTAAAATGGCATCAGCATGTTGAAATAAGACAGTTCACCAAATGCTTCTTTTTGTTGCAAATAGTTCTGAGTTCTGACATTCCTAGGAGACTTGGTACTCATACGGAATGTAACATAGGCTACGACCTTGGGCACTCACTACTTCCCTCGTAAATATGAAATATTGGTCACTTAAAAATCGATTAATATGAAAACTATGATGCTTTACTTTTACAATAAATGGACCTGTGTTTCCCTGCTGGTCTAAACAAATAGAATGATCCATCTTAGTGACTCTTCTGTGTGCAGTTTTCTATATGTTGGACATTACTCTAATAGTTCAGACTATGTATGTGTGGTAATTTCAAATTCAATCCAAGACTAGCAGTTTACATTTTTTTTTAGTTAATGCCAATATGAAATTGAATAGTAATTCCTGTTCTTGGTAGGAGTTCAGACTCAGGCCCTTCGGGCTTTTGTAGTTGACAAAATGCAGACAAGAAGTACTTTATCCAAAGTCTGCCCTGCTTTATGTTCATTTCAAACTGCGGAGAATAGGTTTCAGTAGTTGACCATCGTGTTTTTGTTTGTCAGGTCCAGAGGCATGTACAGATCCGAATGGAAGCGTACCAGAACTACATCGACACGCTACTGGAGAAGGCATGCAACATAGTATCTGAGCAACTGAATGGCTTCAGCATATCTGACCATGATCTAACCTCTGCTGGTGTCATGTTGAGCTCTTCAGACACCTTGAGCCCCTCCATCTTCCACCAGCTCTCTGTCAGCTCGATCAGCCTGCACAGTCCCGGAGGCAAATCCTCCCCTTTTGCAGCTGATGCTGACCTGTTCTTTCAGAAGGCGCCTGAAAAACGCAAGTCATATTGAGATACAGATAGGTGAAGATCCATGACCTGCTTCCTTCTGGAAAAGCCAGGGGGAATTCTGATGATATCTTGCAGGACGCCCAGCAATTGTCCTGTTTCTAGTAGCTAGACTAGCACTGAACAAGGCTCTCTTACCTTGATCTATTTCAGTTAATCTAGACTGACCTTTGTTAATATCCTGTGGCTAGTAGTCGTAGACTGATCAAGAACCTTTATCGATGCGTAAGTATCTTGTAATTCAGAGTCCTAGCTCCCAAATTAACACACTTCGGTTATTTGTATGCTTTTAACCCTATATAATTGGGAATACTGAAAGTGCAACTCATATTACATGGATGTCTCACATGATTATCTTATCTATGCACATATTATTGGCTTAGTGGCAGCAAATCGACGTGGTAAGGTACCATGTTCTCTTTTTACTGTAGCAAACTTGGGTTGATATATTGTGAATTTTATGCAAAATATTCGTATTAATGTTTCTTTCGTGAGAGTTGATTTTGGAGGTAAGAACTTGACTAGGACAATGCGTCTATTATTACAAGTTTACAACTAAGTATAAACTGTGTAAATTGGCACCTGGAAACTGGACCTCGGGAGAGGAAAATTTTTGGATTGGAATTTTTCTCAAGAACTAACGCTTTATACACTAGTGGAGAAACCATCTTTGGTCGGTCCACCCAAATCCACAATAGTTCTGGTTTCATTAAAAACCGAGACTAAAAAGCATTTTTAGTCTCGATTTATAACTGTAAGACTATATCATCTTTAATCCCGGTTTATGATATCAACCGGGACTAAAGATTTCATGTCGTGTCAGAGGCTGTCAGTCCCTAGAGATCTTTAGTCCCGGTTGATGTTACCAACCGGACTAAAATCCTAACTTTAGCCCCGGTTGTTGTTCCCAGCCGGGGCTAAAAATCAAATATACCGTATATAATCCATTGTTGCTATCCTCAAAAAATTTCTATCTCCTATTCCTCCTCTCTCTCTCACTTATCCTTATCCTCTTCTCAGACTTCTCTCTCAACGCTTAGCCAGCGAGGAGCTCGGCCCCGGAGCACGGCGGCGGGGACTCGAGCGCGGGAGGCGGCCCATGCCGGGAGGCGGTAGGGGCCGTCCGCGGCAGGCGGCGGCGGCGGCCGCCCGCGCAGGAGGAGGCAACGGTGGCGGCGGCCGGATTTTTCTTTTTTTTTCTTTTTTTTAATAACTTGTGATTCATTGGATCTGGATCTGTGTTATTTGATCTGTGATGTATTTGTGATCTGTGATGTATATGTGACTGTGATTGTGATGTAATTTTTTTTAAAATTTGTGATGTTTTTTTCTGACAATTTGTGATGTGAATATTATGATTTGTGATGTTGCTATGTGATCTGGGGATGTAGGGAGCATCTCAATTTCGATTTGGAATTTCTGATTGATTTTGTGATTTTGGAGAGATTGGTGTGAAATCAATATTCAAAAGAACAATGAAAAAAAAATGGGACTAACCCTTTAGTCCCGGTTCCCGGTTAAAATACCTGGGACTAAATATTCTTCTCTTTACTCCAAAGATCGATCTCTAGTCCCGGGTATTTTAACCGGGACTTAGAGATAGTGATCTTTAGTCCCGGATTGTTAGCATTTCTCTACCAGTGATATATGTGCTATTCCCTCCGTCCCGAAATATAACAACTTCTAGCCTCTAAAATTTGTTTAAAAATAACAACTTCTACATCAACATTCTCTTCTCAACCAATCACAACCCTCCACCATTCAATTTTCCCACCTACCTCCACTTCTCATCCAATCACAATCCTCTATTATTTAATTATATCTGTTTTTTTAATAACCGTGTCTAACTCTAATAATGCTTATATTTTGGGATAGAGAAAGTACTATTTATCAACAACTGGGGGAGGTGGACATATCGAAGAGTGGAGACGAGGGTGTAATATGCCTGTAACTATAAGTCAAATTTTGAATTTTATAAACTTAATTTTAAAGTTTATTTTACAGTATTTGCTTTTAGTCCTGGTTTAGTTCCTAACTTTTTCTTCAAACTTCGAACTTTACCATCACATCAAAACTATCCTACACACATAAACTTCCAACTTTTTTCTTCAAACTTTTAATTTTAGTCAAACTTCCAATTTTGATACCGAACTAAACACACCCTTAATAAATACTTTTAATGATTTAAGAACACGTACCTATAAATTATATTTTAATTTGTAATAGGCGGTTCGGATAAGCATATGTATAAATGAAAAGATTGGGCATCTAAGCAAAAGTGGAATTTTCTTTTCCTAAAACTGGAAAAGGCTGGAGATCTCCCATGAATAAAGCTCGCCCGTGAAACTGGCAGAGAGAGTTCTTCGAAAGTCGCATTTTCAAGTGTGAAGTATCGAACATCTCCGATCTTCCTCACCTATGTTGTCACCATATTTTATGCCCTAACAGGCTAACACCCAATAAACGCATTCCACTGCTACCATGTGGCTGTAGAAAAGGAGAAAATACTTTGGTCACTCGCCCTTAGAGAGGATCAATTGGGAATATTCCTAAAATGCTCTTGCCACAAAACCATTCAAATAAAAAAAATACAATATTTTTTATTAGGTTATATGTTGACAACAATGACCAGCTCATCATGCATGAACTACAAAAATCGTGCTTCTTGTGGGATGATAAGAAGTCAAATATTATATTTTGGATAAAATCAAAGTCCCTTGTAGCGAAGATTGACAAACCAACTGGCAAATTGATGGCAGAATATACATGAATTACTTCACTTAGGCTGTGTTCGGCACACCCTTTTCCTAATCCCTTTTCCTCGTTTTCCGCACGCACGTTTTTCAAACTATTAAACAGTGCGTTTTTTTTCAAAAAGTTTCTATACGAAAATTGCTTTAAAAAATCAAATTAATCCATTTTTTTAAAAAATAGCTAATACTTAATTAATCATGCGCTAATGGATCGCTCCGTTTTCCGTGTGAAGGGAATGAGTTCCCATCCTGTAGATGCGAACACAGCCTATGTGTTTTTCTCCGTCCTCTGTCCTTATTATGCATATTGGTTGTATCATGGTTTCATATATATGATGGATCCTTACAGATGTATATAGTCTTCATAATGTTTAATACTTTTGATACACATCATAATGTATAATGTCTACTACTATGGTAAATAAGGTGGACTCGCTATGAACAAAAATCATCCATACCAAGCATCAGTATTGTAAAAATAATATTTTTTACTTGCTTATTATCAGTTGTAAGCATACTACCTGGTAGTAGCTATTATCAGGTAACACAATATATACTACCAGGTAAAAACAATTGATACACTTACCGGTATATTATAGAAAAGTACAATGTCAAATTGTCTATGCTAAATCGAGTTGCCTTAATGTGCATGGGAGTCGTGGGCCACTCGTGTGTGCGAATACACCACTCCAAAACGTTCTAAGCTCACCAATTGGGAAGAAGCTTTAATATACCCAATGCTATAAATCTTTGGGACAATTCTTTATTTTCTTTTGAACTTTTGAAAATATCATATGGACGTATGGTTCCTTGTTGCCATTGATGTCTCACTGAGATGTGATTCCTAGACCCACATGTCACTAAAAGGACGAAGGGGTAAAATGGATAAATTTTCAGTGGCATATAATATATTTATCATAGAATCTTAAAGCAAAAGATTGCTATATTTGTCTTCCATCAACGCTTGTGCTTGCAAAAATTAAAATCAGGGATTATTAGGTCCATGTTTTGGTGCTGATATGATTACTCCTATCTAGGTTGGGGTCATCATATAAACTAGATGAATACCTCGCCGCGTTGCTGCGGAAAAATAAGTTACATAATATGTAAAAAAATAAAACAATTTGATACAATTTTGAGCCTAAAAGTAATTGAGATTGCATGTTTTTAAGAGAGGAGAAAGAAGAAACAATTTGGACCATAGATCTATCATCCAAAGGCTAAAAATAATTGGGGTAATGTAGCTTAATAAGAGAAGATAAAAATAACATTAACTACACTTAGTAGAGATGAACTATATAAGTATACATGATAAGCTAGCTAACTACAATCATATCAACTCCAAATTTACTCAATTACTTGAAACGAGACCAAAAAAAATAAGTGTGGTTCTATACGCATGTGGACGTATTTCATGGAAAGGGCTAGGATAATGCAATTTAATTTGGGAGCTAGTATTATAGTAATTGCTTTTAATTGAATTAAGTTAGGTGTTTGGATGTTTTTATTGCCAACCATATCTAGTTTTTTTTTTTAAAAGAGAAGATCTGAATTAGAGGGCTCTGTTTTTTTTTTAAAAAAAAAGCCCAAAAGGACAGCAGACTAATTCAAGAGCCCTAAGAGGTGCTTTAAACCACTTTTAAGATGTTCAGTACATGAAATTTCATTCCCAGACAGTGATTAAGATAATCCATGTTCATACTTGCCGAACCATATATAACAGAGTTATTATTGCCAAAAGCATATATCTAGCTAGAATAACAGTCAAACACTCAAAACAGTTAGAAGCGATATGCTTTTCTGTCTCGATCACGTCTTCCATCCTCACCTATTCAAAGGGAATTATCCCAACTAATTCAACCTTGCTTTTACCTTTTCAAGTGACCAGGACTGCGGGGATTGATCTTCAAAGAAATCCTTCTTTTTTGTTGAAAAGATAACTGCGAAGAAATCTGATACAAGATCGCCTTTTTCTCTGTCAATACAATCAGCTAGCCAAGTTCACACGCCCATGATATCCCCAATGTACATTTTCACTGAATGAAAACCAGGGCAAAATGACTATTAAAAAAACAACGGCGAAACGGCAAAGGTTCATAAAAAAAATAAAATGGCAAAGGTTCAACGGCAAATGTCTTAAGCATGTTTTTGGTTGGGGGATGTGGTGGGATGGGTTAGGTCCATTCCTATTTTTTTGAATGGGTTGGACCCAGTTTCTGTTTGATTGGAGGGATAGAACGAACCTTGTTTTTTTTTGTTTGGTTTGAGGGATATGGTGGGTCGTAATGGTTCTATCATTTGTTTGGATAGAGGGATAAATGTGGGTTGTTTAGGTGGAGATACCTCTTGGTGAGGTTACCTCACATATGAAATTACTTGGACAAAATCTCCATAAAATCTAGGATAACATGCACAGGTACATTCCTGATGTTGCTCTGCTTAGCAAAAGAGGGTGAAAACAGCACACACGCCTTCCTCCATTCAAACCAACACAAAAGGAAGTTCAAGCCTTGACCATTACGTGCAATCATTACAACAAACTAAGTTGAAAACAAGAAAATTGACCATTGGAGACATTCATCCATTCAAACCAACACAAAAGGAAGTTCAGGCCTTACCTATAATTAGCATACATGCATAGATAGGAAGTTCAAGCCACATATAATAAGGAGTTCAAGTCTCGTACATAATAGCAAATTTAAGTCTTATACATTGTAGCAAATTTTAGTCTTGCACATTGTCTTGACGGGAGAGACGGGAGTTCCGGGCGTGGGACTGGAAGGAGGAGGTGCAGCAGCTCAGCCACGAGTAGGCGCGACAGCGGATGGGAGAAAGGAGGATGGAGATGGGAAAAGGGGTCGGCGAGAGGAGGTATGGGAGGAAGCAGGCCCGTGGCACGACGCCGGCGCCGGCGCCCTCTTGCGCGCGAGTGGCCGCCGCTGCCCTCTCTCGATCTGGATATGTTTCGCTGTCACTGTGAAGGGGAAAAACACGATATAGTGAGAAAAGAGATAGGGTTACTCTCGCGTGCGTCTCATGTGAGCGCGAGGAGGTGAGATGGATCGGTCCACCACATTTCCCCTGAGCGAAACCAACCCGCATATAGTCATAATATTTCTTTTTGGACCCAACCCAGTCCACACAGTCCTTCAACCAAACACCTGTGTAAAAATGGGACGGCTCCAGCCCAACCCACAAAAATCTTGCAACCAAACACATGCTAAGTGAATGGTTATATTACGGTATGCAATCTTAAGATGGATACTAAGTGTTGCATTTTTAATTTTAGCACGAATGGATTATGGACTCATGAAAAACTCGTGGTTTTGATCCTACCTAGGTTGCACACGTAGTGGCGAAGGGAGGCTGTTGACAAATTTGATTTTCAATAGTCTCAAGCATATAGATCACAAAAAATGACAATGATTTATGGAGTTGTTTGGGATGTTTCAAAAAATGTCTTGACATGCGGACAAAAATGTCAAAAGTATTAAATAATGAAGCAATGGAGCAAGTTCTTTTCTCTTTTTTTTTTTGGGGGGGGGGGGGGATGCAAGGACATTAATGGTGCCTTTCCCAGTAACTAAAAACAAATGGTAAAATCGTAGTGTTTATTGTGCTATGATGAACAATTTGGCCAAGACAAATGGTACAAGATGTTGCCAAATTTTATTTCAGCCCTGAACCCAAATCTTGCAACCTTGTAGTAATTGTTTCCGGGAGCAATTACAGTAATTGTTTTTAATTGATGAAGTCCAGAACACATAAGGCATAGTTCGATTGAGCATTTCGGCTGAGCTGATCAGTCGAGATTAATTAAAATATATATTTTAATATGATTTTTAAGAAAGTTTTATATAAATAGTATTTGTAAAAAAATATAACAATAGCTTAGGAAGCATATGCCCATGGAAAATAACGGAGCAGTTAAGCCAATTAGCCAAATCGAACAGTATCTTACATGAAAAAAATGACATTGAAACTTATAAGTAAGATGTGAAGTATGGACAGTAAGACATGACGCCCTGAACCCATATTGTCACTTTGTGTTCGGACAAATGATTTGGGCTGAGCTTATTTACGAGTAGTTAGCGAGTGATTAATTAAGTGTTCGGTAGCTCTAATTTACGGGTAGCGCTTAATTTAATAATAACAGGATCAAAATCCATTACACTACATTATGGGTGAATATAGTAGTACTACTCTGCGTAGCACATTATTTCCATATTTTGTTCTTCTTGATATGCCATTTCCACATACACCTATAATTTGTGTGTCAAGATTTTGTACTTTCTCTCTCTAGGATGTTAGTACTGCTAAAAAGACCTCTGTTTTCTCTCTCTAGGCCACGGTCCCTCTAGTGGGCCCCACCTAACCTCCCCCCGTCGACCGTTCGGGCCCGGACCAATCGAGCGCAGCAGCAAAAGCGCAAGAAAAAAGAGAGAGGGAAGGATTACTCGAGAAGGAAAAAAAATAAATAAAAAAAAATCGCTTGGCTTCCCCCCGTCTCCTTGCGCCTCCGCCCCCTACTCCGGCGAGCCGAGCCGCCGTCCGCCGCCGCCGCATCGCGAGTCCTTCCCTCGTCGGGCAGTCGCCTGCCCCAGGTTAGCAGCCTCCGCCTCCTCCTCCTCCTGCTCCCCCCTCGCGTCGCCACTCCCGGTGGGGGCGATCCGCTCGTATCCGTGGGTTGATGTTTCCTGCGTTTCTTGGCACCCGATTTATTGGCTGCTTGGGTGCTACACCCCGTACCAATCCGAGCGCTATGAGCTCACGCGCACTGGGGGACTCCGGCCTCCGGCACCTGGTCGGTGCGTACTGGCAGCTGAGATTGTTGTTGCTATGTATGTGAGATGCTTGTGTACATGTGGGTACTACTTTGGTAGCCACCTACTTGTGCCCCAGTTTCAGTAAATGTGCTCAATTTTAGGGGTTTTAGTCATTTTGTTGCTTGTGTAGTATCGTCATCTTGTGGTCGGAGGATGAGTATCGGCGCTCTTTCTTTGCAAATTGGAGTAGATTTAGCCCTTGAATGATGTATGGTGGCATGAGTTATTTTTAATGGTTTTAGTTTCGCTAGACCTGCCTGAAATGTAGTCTTACTGTCCTTCGGGAGATATGAGCACATAACTTGGGTGTATGTACTATGTAGGACAGTTTTTTTGGTACCATGGCCTTTATCTACTTGTTGAAAGTATAGTTGGAAAATTTATCTGTTAAAATTTCATGTACTGTGTAGGTGAGATGGTCCTACTGCAGCAATCTGCCGTTAATATGATCTTTTTTTTTGTCCTCAGGATATCAATTCAGCCACACATTCCCTACATCGTTGCTAGTTACACATGTAGCACCTCTGGTTGAAAGCCAATACTACTACTGCTACCTAATCCAAAGCAAGGGTAATGTATACCATGTTGCGCTTGTATTCCCAAGGATATGGTTGTTTAATCTTTGCATATGTCTTCCACCATTATATCGTTGATTTTGTAATAATTCGTCTATCAACATCTCACTTGTGTTGCTGACACCTTCCACAACAATTTATCACTAGTTTTTGAACAAAAGGTCTTATGAATCCAAATTCCAAGTGATAGCCTCTCCTAGAACTCTTCCGTTGTTACAGTGATTTTTAATTTAGACTGATGCAATGAATTACTTATCTAGTTTTCATTGGATGGAAAAGCTAAAATCTCAATTGTGCAGTCATGATAATTAAGTTGGTATCTGTCCTACTGGTAACTCTAAACTGTCGGTTTCAGTTTCAACTAATGAACTATCCTGTAGGGTTCAAAGCAATACAGGAAATCTGTTTTTTTTTTTTTTTTTGCCTCTCAAGCATTAAGTTGGTTTTCAAGTGTTAGCAGGCAGATAATAATTTTAGTGCTATTTTGCATCCATAGACTTGTGTTAGAGTAAAGTGTTCTGAAAATGTCTGTATACCCTGTACACCTCCAGCTTCACAAAAGAGCAAGTTGTGAAATTCTAATGGTGTATTAAGTTTTTGTTTTCTTTAATTACGAGATGACATATCATCTTATTAAATGTTTTACTTCCTGGATAAATCCAGTGCTGTAAATTCAGGTGATGAGCAAATGCAATGTATCAGCCAAATCCTATTTCCAGCAGTGGTCAGACTCATGGCAATCCTACTGCTCATGAGCAAATGGAGTTAGGGAACAATGCTATTGTCCCTAGTAACGGAGGGAACAATAACCCTAATATGGCGGCAAGACAGCGGTTACGTTGGACAAATGAGTTGCATGACCGTTTCGTGGAGGCTGTTACTCAGCTTGGTGGGCCTGATAGTATGTCCTCCATGATTCAACTCGTTTTTCCCTTTTTGTTGCTCCTTTTATAGTTTTATATTTTATCTAGTACGTAGAGTTAGAGAAGTTGGTTCTAGTATTATACATTACATGTTTGCAACTGTGGTGACTGTTTTTGATTTATAATATGCATTTGCTGTACTAAATGAAAACTATAAGCTTGACAAATATGACAATAGCACGATGGTAATATTCAAGATCTGAACCAAAATGAATGGAATGTAATGGGTATTGATCTATCTTTCCTCAAGACCATAAAAGCACACAAAAAAAAAAACACTTGCATCTATTCCACCATTTGATTTATTCCTGATTACTTCATCTTCTTGATATTGATCATCTTCCTTTAGAATTAGCTCTGTGAAATATGAGTTTTCCAAGGAGACATTGAATGAGCATGTGATCTGGAAATGGTGATTTATTGGGCAATTGAAAGAATTCTTTGATTCATGGTTTGCATGTAGTTTGCATGCATCCATGGGAAACCCTGATTCTTAATATGATTTGTGTTAAAAATGCAAACAGAGTAGTACAACATATGAACATGCTATTAATACTAAAATAAAATATATATTTGATATTCTCAACCTCCCTCTGCATATAGTAGTTTTATTGATTTTATTCCTTGTACACCACTTAATATTCACAGAATTCCTTTATATGCAACTCATGCCTTTCAAAGAACTTGTCAGCTCACAATGTTATGGAACCACTGTTTTTGAACTGCATAGTTTATTAAGTAGGTATGTCTACTTATAATGTAATTCCTCAATTGTGACAGGAGCCACTCCTAAGGGAGTTCTGAGAATTATGGGTGTGCCAGGACTGACAATATACCATGTGAAAAGTCACCTACAGGTAAAATTATTGCGAAACAAATGACCCTTTATCAGTTTGACCATCTATGGCATTTCTTCCTAACTTTTTGCCTGTTTGCTTTTATTTGTCTAGAAATACCGGCTTGCAAAGTACATTCCAGACCCTTCAGCTGATGGTAGGGGGCATTTGTATTCTACTAATCCTTTTAGATATGTCCAAGGAAGAACATATTTATATTATTATTTCACTTTATCTAATCTATATCCCTTGTGTAGACAACAAGGATGAAGATAAAGATCCAGGGAATCTGCTTTCTGCACTTGAAGGTTCATCGTAAGTTCAAATAACTCTACTCCGTTGGTCTTTGTGTTTACTTTTGAGAAACATGGATCTCACTACTAGTAATCAAGGAAAGGAAAAGGCTCAAGTCCAATGGTTTTCTTATGTGTTGATTTGTTCTGTTTAGTAGGTTAAACATAATTTACAGTTAACATCATCATCAAAATGCCTGATGGCATGGGAGAAAAGAAATACATTGCTGCATTTTATATTATTAGTAATGAAAATAAAGGAAGTATCAAGCAACTTGTTTGTAATGATCCAAAGTTTATTGGGGGTAAATACCATTTATATAGAGGCCAGATGGCATGTGGGGAGATTTCTATATTCTTATTTTTGCTGAATTAAAATGAAAACTTCCATCTCTCTATATTCTTATTTTTGTTTAGAGATTATCTCTAACAAATTGGACTAGAGATAAGTGAAATCTAAACTAAGGTGGAGATACCATAGAAATTAAACTAAATACTCCCTCCGGTCATAAATATTTGATGTTCGGACAAGGTTAACTCAAACTTAAAACTTTGACCATCAATAATCTCTCAGATGCTTACTTTTAAAGGTAAAATAATGTATATGTAGAATTGCCTTGATAAGTACTAGGTACTATCATAATCTTGTGAACTTATAAGATTTTATAGATAGACTTGTTCTAATATAAAATCGAATATCAAAGATTAAAAGATTTGACCGAAACTGTCATAACCATCAAATATTTATGACTAGAGGGAGTAGTAACTAAGTTATCAGGCAACTGTACTTACTGGAGATAATGTTGTTACTGTGAGCCTCCATTGTGCTGCAGCTGTTTCTGGAATTGCAGTAGTTCTGCAGTTATACCTACTAGAGTAGCTATCAAGCTTACCAGCATGTTCTTATCCTTCTATTTTTTGAATTTGCAATATATACTGTTTACATTGGCCTGATCATTGGCCTGATCTCATTACTTCTATAACCATGTGCCATTTGGTATAAGAAACTCATATTTTTACACTTCCGTTGCAGTGGAATGCAGATATCTGAAGCCCTGAAGCTGCAGATGGAGGTCCAGAAGCGGCTACATGAACAATTAGAGGTAAGCTCCTGCTGCACTAATATGAAGCACACTTTATGATATGAAACTCACAATTATTGATGTTTCTAGTTGAGTGATGTGTAATGTACCATCAACTAGATTATGGTGTTAATGTTGAGACTTGAGAATAATCCAATAAATAAAATCAAATCGTGGTTAAATTGTAAAAGGGATGCTAAATTCAATGGTGTTTTCTGGTGTACAGAAGTCTCAGTATGATATGGCAGTGGATTATGATGATCTCATTTGGTGCAACTGCTTTTAGACAATTTGGCGTTTGGCAAACTATTTTTCTTTTATTCTATGCAGCAAACGAAAATACTATTGTGTTCCAAAAATGTGCCACAGTTGAAGGAGACATGAATGTTGGATAACAATTTGATCTGTAACGCAAACTTAACCATTATAAGTTTTCAATGAAAAAAAAGAATAGAACACCACAGCACAGCACAGCACAGCACAGCACAGCACAGCACAACAACTGCAAATGGAGCCTAATGTGCCAGAATAATCTTGTATTAGATAGAATTCACAACACCAGTTTGTTAGTTGAACTAAATATTGTAATAATTGTACAGAATTGTTTTCATTTTGGAGCTTTGCTTCAGCAATAACCTAGGAGAGATTATGAATCTTACAGTTGTACAGTAAACTTAGAGTAATACTACGTACACAGAGTCTTCCTAGTATACAGCAATTGTTCTACTGAAGAAACCATGTGCAACTTTCTTGTGTAATCTGAACTAACAAACATCTCTTGCAGGTGCAAAGGCAGCTACAGCTGCGAATTGAGGCGCAGGGGAAGTATCTCCAGAAGATCATCGAAGAGCAGCAGCGTGTCATTGGTGCAGGAGCTTCCAGAGCCACGTCAAGCGAACAATTGCCTGACTCTGAGAAAACTAACCCACCAACTCCAGTACCAATTTCTGAATCTCCAGTTCAGGGTGCACCCCATAGCAAGAACAGTCAAAGCCAAGTTGAGCCGACGAAGAGCCCTTCGCATGATGATGCTCTCCCGTGTGGTGAACCTTTAACACCTGACTCCAGCTGCCGGCCTGGTTCACCGACGCTCAGCCCAAAGCATGAGCGTGCAGCCAAGAGACAGAGGGGCAGTGATGCAGGCGATGTCACAGCATTCGCAGATGGAGAATTTGTACTTCCACCAGGCATCTTTGAGTCAAGCACAGGATCCGAGTTCCAAGAATGTTCGATGCCTTATTCAGGCCATTAGCCTATGGTGCTCTGATCATCAGTCCATCACCTTGACAAAGCTTACATGGTAAGATTTCATCTGTAGCCGTTGGTAGATTTTGGCCTTGTCAACACAAATACCTTTAGACAGAGAGTCTAGGTTTCAAAAGGAAATTGGGCACATGACATGCAGAGTAGCTGTAATTCTTGCACTGTTGTTAGATGTTCATGGGGACTAATGTAACTGATATTTAATTAAAAAATATTATTTTAGAATGACTTATGTTATGCTTCATGCCAATCTTCTTTGTTGTCTGTTCTTGCTGTAAATCTGGGGTGCACTGTCAATTTAGGAACCATCTGTTGTTAGAATGACTTGTGCTGTAATAGTAACGACCGACGAAATGGCCTACTTCAACTTTTAACCTTTTACTTAGTTTATAGTGTGAAATCCATGCTGTGTATCCTGTTGTTATTCCAAAAGCATATTATCTTCATGGGCAAAATTTGCTAAAGGACACTTAAAATTTATGTAATTTGCTGGTAGACATCGTAAAAACATGTTACGGCTAAAAGACACTCCAGAAAAATGGTAATTTGCTGGAGAACACTTTCAACTCAATCGGAGAAACAAATTTTTCAAAAAGACGATAATGATCCTAGGGTCAAAAGCTTTTTGAGCCAAGACTCTGTGAAAATGAAATATGATGTATGCTAGTGATGTACGTTGGGCTATGACAAATTTAGAGTTGCATAATTTCCAATTTTTTACTCTAACACCATATTTGAAGCATGTAGCCAGAGGGGCATTCTCGTCTTTTTTAGGAATCCATCTTTCCAATTAAGCCGAAAGTGTCCTCTAGCAAATCACCAGTTTTTTAAATGTCTTTCAGCCGTGACACGTTTTGTCGATGTCTATCAGCAAATTACACAAATTTTGGATGTCCTGTAGCAAAATTTGCCTATGTTCATGAATCTGAAAATTACATCTGATTAGACCACAGCTGAGGTAGCAGCTGACAGCCAGGCTGAGGGGTGAATTTTCTTCCTGTACCATCACTAACCATAAGATCTATTGAGCCAAACGTGGCTACGTTTAGTTTGTTGCTAAATATTGACAATATGTATAGAATTTTGGCAACATTATTAAAGTCAGTCCTACCAAAATTTTGGTATTGCTACCAATTTGCCAAAATTTTGACATTGCTAAATTTGGTAAGTTTTATTTTGACGCCAATCTGCACGAACCCTTAACCACGAATTTGAATAAAGGTATATTCAGATTTATAGTTAAAAGTTGCTATATTTTGAAATGGAATGAGTATTTCAAATGGGAGCATGAGATTTTTTTTCTTAAAATTCCTTTGAGAATTGAATTGCTTCCCCTGAAATCCCTGAATACAGAACATGTCCTTAATCTGGATTTATTTTAAAAGCAGTGAACGAAAGCTGCAAGCTTATGCACATCTTGATGCTCCTATTTTTGGCACGAAGAAATCCCTTCAACCGTGCCAGTACGTCAATCTTTGGACATGTACAGCTACAATTAGTTATTTTTGGATGGCTTTCCAGCTTAACAAAGGACTTAATCCACTGTCATGATTGACTAGCAAAAGCTTAATTAAGCCAATTACCCCCCAAGTGTCATTTCCCTGCACCTGTCTGTCTGTACAGTTGCCTAATTAACCAGATGATCCCTAGCTTTTGCCATCTGCTTAATTACTAATCCATCCACCATTGCATCTGCTTCTCCTTGCTGTCGTGACAATTAATCTCAGATCATTATGCGCCATTGTTGGAGACGGAAGCTGCCTCTTTAGCTTCTCGTTTGGTCGCCGGCGCCGGCGCCGCCGCCGCCGTCTCGACGTCGCTGCATGCATGCCGGTTTGATACTCTGATATGAAACCGAGCTGTTGCAGCAGCAGCGAGATCGAGTCGTCGTTGCCGCCGCCGCCGGATTGCGCCGCCGCCGCCGCCGACGGGAAGCGGAAGCTGCAATGCAGGCGAGCGTCGCGGTCTCGGAGGCGCTCGAGGCCGGGAAGCTGTCGGCGGCGCCGCGCGACGGGGCCGCCGACTTCGCCGTGGCGTGGCTCGCCGTCGTCGTGGTGTCGCTCGCCGTCGCGGCGACGTGCGTGGTCGTCTCCTTCGACGCGCACGCGCGGCAGCCGGGGCGGCTCCGGCGGATGCTCGACCTCGGCCCGTCGGTGCGCGGGGCGCGCCTGCTGCTCGCCATCTTCGCGGGCCTCCTGGCCGCCGCCGAGGTCATCCGCCTCCCGTTCTTCAGCCGGGCCGTCGTGTCCCCGCCGCGCCACGTCGTGCCCTGCCTCGCCTACCCGCTCGTCGCCCACGGCGTCGCCGAGCCGTGCTTCCTCGCCACCGTGCTCCTGCTGCTGCGCGCGTCCACCGGCGGCGCGCGCCTGCCGGCGGCCGCGCTCGCCGTGCCGTTCGCGTGCCTGCCCTTCCTCAGCGCGCACGTCGCGGTGCTCGTCCTGCCGGCGGCCGTCGCGCCGTACCCGGGCCAGCTCGCGCACGCCGCGGACGTCGACGCGCGCTGCGCCTACCCGGCGTACGCCGCCGCGCTGCTCGTCGCGCTCGCCGCGCTCTACGCGCCGCTGCTCCTGTCCGCGTGCTGGACCGTCGCCGCCGTCGCCATCAACCGGCGGATGCGCGCGAGGGCGTACGCGCTCGCCGCGCTCGTCGTCGTGCCGCTCCCCGTGCAGGTGGTGGCGCTCGCGCTCTCCTCCGTGTGGGAGACGCCGCGGCGCACGTCGCCGGTGGCCGCCTTCCTCGGGTTCCTCGCCGTCGGGATAGCCGCGGCGGCCGCGCTGGCGATCCTCGTGCTGCTGCCGGTGTACGACGCGCTCTTCCTTGGCGACGACGAGCAGCTGCCGGTGGCGGTGGCGGCCGCCGGCGAGGAAGCGCGCGAGCTCGACAGATGACAAAAGGAGATTGTGCCTTGAAGTTAACATGTCTCAAGGCTAAGGGATTAGCTAGAAAAAAAACGACATGCTTTGCTTGTATTATTTTTGTTGTAGTTTTGTAATAGTGGATTCGGCGATACACAATTTGTAGTACACAATAGTAACATAGACCAATTTTACTTCTTTTTTTTTTAGCAAAATGCTATATGCAAAATAACGCAGAAATTTAAGTAACTTGATAACCTCCTAATCTTAGTTGAAATGTCGAAAGCATTACATTATACTCTTCTCGTCACAAATACATGTTGTTTGCTTCTCTTTTGTTTTTGATTTTTGGAGTGACTTTGATTATAATTTTGCATTAGAATAAGATTATAAAAATATAATTATAAGTTTTATGAGATTATGAAAAATACTTTTCAAGAAAATTTTACGTGCACTATATGTTCCCAAAACTATGTATTCTAAAATTTATTTACAATCAAAATATTAAAAGTAAAAAATGGCAAACAACATAAATACTGCTATTAATCAAGATTTAAATCTCCAGCTATAGTTGCCGCTATAGCCGGAGATTGCTCCTAGATAAGGCAGTAGCTAAAATATGCTACTTTTGCCGTTACACAATCTATGATGCTAATAGCTAGTCTGAGCGGGAGATAGCCACTAAATTGACCTTAATTTAGCGGCAGCTAAATCATGGTGGTGGGCTGAATTGGCTACGGGCTAAGGCCCATATACCTCTCATATTAATCTAAGTCCCTAACTCTCTCCATCTTTCCATCTCTCTCTCCCTCAGTCCCTATCCTCCTTGCTAGACGACGGTGGCCGTGACTTGCAGGCTGCAACATCGATGGTGATGGTTGCGGCTGCGCCCGTAGGCGGAAGCGGCGACGGCGATGGCTGCGATCGGAGGCAGCTAGCGGCTGAGCCCGGAAGCTGTGATGTTGGCGGATGCGGCTGGAGGCGGTGACAGCGGCTATGCCTGGAAGCTACGATAGTAGTAGCTCCATTCAAACTTTGGAGGCCCACTCCTCTTTTTCACCAAGCGTCACCGTTTCAGCCAGAGACAGGGAAGCTTTTTTTTTTCTTTGATTCTCTAATATTGATTATTGATGTTGTGCTTGAAATGAGAATATATTTTTCAAAACAATTAAATATCTGAGCTGTAGCTAGAGCCCACTATAGCTGATCATAGCTGATGAAAGCCCTAGCAGTTAAAGGGCTTTGCCAGAAATTTAAATCATTGATGAACCAAGTACTGTGCACATGTAGAGTAGGACAACACTGACAATAGTGTGGAACTTCACTAGCGGGAAAGCGAGTACTCTCCCTTGTAGATTCGGCTAGGGGATGGGTACCTAAGGATAGAGGGTTCACAATCCCGCAAGGAGTTGAGAACCGGCCATACAGGTTCAAGCCGCACGGGTGCGTAATATTATACTCCTCTGTGTGTGCACTAAGGATAAAGGATGAAACTCGATTACAATGCAGGAAACATAAAGTCTAAGGGAATATGCTAGCTTGCGGGATTGTGAACCTTCTATCCTTTGGCTGTGATCCTTCTTTTATAGTAAGAGGACTCCACAACACTAATATATTGATGTGCGAGTGGGCCTTACTCTATTAAATTCGGTATGGTTGGTCTTTTTGAATCCCTTTGAATTAGACGGGGATGAATATTTTCCTCTGTTGGCTGATGAAGGAGGCCCACCGAAGTCAAAAGGTGGCCTCGCCTCCACTGTTCATGGGTTTGCCTTGGTGACACACGGTACAAGCCTCTCTATGCTACCACGTTTTTGGCAGGATGTATATGCGACACGCGCCACATCATCATTAATGCAAGGGAGTGGCTCCCCTGGCCGTGTTAGCTTTTCCATGAATTGATTGTGCTTTTTTCATAGAGAGCCCGAGGTAGGGGCCATGCCCGGGCCCTCGTCCGGGGCTCGAAGAGAGAGCTTGTGCTCCTACCTGCGACCCGAAGATGGCTAGCCTTGGTTTCTAGATGGCTACCACACCCGAGGGCGTCCTCGGCTCCCGGGGCACCTGGCGTGTTCAGAGTATTCCTGGACACCTGGTTTTTCTCCTTGGCGTCTTGAAGATGCATGTCTTGTTTGCCTCGTTGTATTCTACCGTATCCCGGTGACCCGGGGGAGATAGGGACCTTGGTTCTCATATCTCTGACAACAGATATACTCATTATGTCCGAAAATATATGGATATTTAGATTGTTTAGTAAAAAGTAGTAAAGTTAGGTTAAAAGATTCTATTTTAGTTGTTTTAATTATTAATTTTTAAATTGTTTAGATTCTCTTTCAAAACATATAATTGGTTGTGGAATTGTGGACATAATGGGAATAATGAAAATCAGTACTACATTAACCCTTATACCATGTTACAAAATTTAAATATTAAAAATCCTGGCAAAATTTGCTACAGGACACTCAAAATTTGTGTAACTCGCTAATTGACATAGTAATAATGTGTCACTGTTGAAAGACACTCTAAAAAACTGGTAATTTGCTGGAGGATAGCTTTGGCTCTATTGGAATGAGAAATTCTTAAAAAAGATGAGAATGCTTGTATGATCAAAAGCTTATAAGTTGAGAATGGAGTGAAGATGTAATATGATGTATGCTAGTGATGTATTTGGGGGGATGGCAAATTTAGAGCTGCATAGTTTCTAATTTTTTTACTCTAACGCCATGTTCAAAGCATGTGATCCTAAGGGCATTCTAATATTTCGTAAGAATTTATCTCTCTAATTGAATCGAAAGTGTTGTCTAGCAAATAACCAGTTTTTTAGATGTCGTTCAACCGTGACACGCTTTTTCGATCTCTATTAGCAAATAACACAATTTTTGGATGTCCAAATTTGCCTATATTGTACCACCTCAATCCTTAACTATAGCAATATAGTAATATTGGCTTTCGTACTACTCCCTCCATCCCAATTTGATCATTATCTAAGATATTTTAAATCTTTTTAAAATGATCATCCTCTAACAAGTGTCTCTTTTTTATTTGTGCAAAGAGTTAATGTGTATTATTGAACGTGTTGCATGCAACCAACTAAAATTAATTTTTATTTGTGCAACTCCATGCAATATATATAGGCAAATTTTGCTACAGGACACCCAAAATTTGTGTAATTTGCTGATAGACATCGACAAAACGTGTCACGGCTGAAAGACATTTAAAAAACCGGTGATTTGCTAGAGGACACTTTCGGCTTAATTGGAGAGATGGATTCCTAAAAAAGACGAGAATGCCCCTCTGGCCACATGCTTAACATGATGTTAGAGTAAAAATCTGGAAATTATGCAACTCTAAATTTGACATAGCCCAAAGTACACCACTAGCATACATCATATTTCATTTTCACACTAGTCTTGGCTCAAAAATTTGTCTTAGCATACACTAGTTTTGACCCTAGGATCATTATTGTCTTTTTGAAAAATTTGTCTCTCCAATTGAGTTAAAAGTGTCCTCCAGCAAATTACCATTTTTCTAAAGTGTCTTTCAGCCGTAACACGTTTTTACGATGTCTACCAGCAAATTACACAAATTTTAGTTGTCCTTTAGCAAATTTTGTCATATATAAAAGATGATGCAATCCACATCTCCATATGACACGAAGCGACGTAGCACACCTTGACCGACGAAGATTAATTTCAGAGTGATTAAGGTTTTAATGCCTTGTTCTCTCTGCGTACATTCTCTTATTAGGATAAACTTAAGATAGTGGGATTAGTTGCTATGATCCAATCAATCAAAGTTGCCGACTACATGCAAATGAAAGTTTCATCTCTCTCGGTTCCATAAATTATCCAATAATAATTAAACTCTGTCTCTCGTCCAACCTCTTGTCCCCATGTAGTGGTGGTGTGTGTGAGTGACCCCGACGCAGCAACGACTAGCCGCGGAGGGAGGAGTCAAAGTCCACGGCTGGGCCCCGGCGTCCGCGCCTGTCCCTAGAAAAATACACAACACTACACATCCATCCCAGATTCCAGTCCGATCCAGTCAAAGCGAGCGAGCTAGCTACTCCAGCTGCTGGCCGGCCGTCGAAAGAGACCGGATCACTTTGCCGGATGAGCAGCGGTGGGATCGATCGTGGATTGTGCGCGCCTCCGTCCGTCCTGCCGACCGGCGCGGCGGCCGCGAGCTTAGATTTTGGCTGTGCTCCTGCTGGTAGGTACGTTTCCTGTACACTCGGATATGTATATGGATATATATATAGAGCTCTTAATTGGTTTTGATTGCTTCCGTTTCTTCTGTTATTTCTGGATCTCAAGTTTCTTCCCGGCCGATCGATCTCATATTGTCAACCCACATCATCTACGGTTGGTTCTGACTTCAATATTTCGAGCCATGTTTGATTTTTTTTTTTGTTCTTCCTCTTCACTGCTCGATCGACCGGCCAGTTAATTTAGTCGAACATACAAATTATTAGTCAGAAGTTACAAAGCTAGTCCTTTCCATAATAAGCTCGCATGGATGAATTGTTGGGCAGATCTGCTTTACCAAGTTCTATTGTACCGAACCCGAACCCCTTAATTAGGAGGAGACAGTTCCACGTATACGTGATGAACTAGCATAAATACCCGTGCGTAGCAACATATTCTAAATAAAATTTTATGGATATAAATTAAAACCCTAAACCATATATATCACAATTGGACTAATGGAAATATAATCATAAAAGTACGTATTACCCCCTGAACTATCATGGTCGACCGAATTACACCCCTGAACCACAAACCAGACATTCTTCACACTTAACAATTGAAACCAGACAAATAACTCCCGGCTCAATTCGCTGTGGTTTTGGTCCTACGTGGCAGCCCAGTCAGCAATTGTTTTTAAAAAAATCGATGGACCCCACCTGTAAGTTTCTAACCCTCTCTACCTCTCTTTATTCCCCCTCTCTCTCTCTTCTCCCTGCCACACCTCCCTGACGTGGCCGCGCCGACGTAGTTGCCCGACGGGTAGCCACTGAAACAGGTGGCAAGCGCGCAGCCCATCGCCGTGGTGCGCCGCCACACCATCTGCGTATGGTGCCAGCCATCGCGGCGCTGCCACTGCGTCGTACGCGCACACTCCCGTGACACCCGAGCTCGCTCCGCCTCCGCCGCCGACCGCCCCAACCCGCACGAGCACCGTCGAGGGCGAGGCAGCAGAGGAGTAGATCGACGACGAGGGATGCCAACGGGCGGTGTCCTTTTCTTCCACTTCCTTCGCCTTCTCTCTCTTCTTTTTCTTTTTTTTTTCTTTGGATTTGTGCATCCTTCGATGTGGAACGAGCCGGCGAAGAAAAGGGGGGGGAGGGGGGGGGCGAGCCAGGGGAGCGCAGGAGTGGGAGGTGGGCAGCGGTGGCGATGGCAGCAGCCACGGCGGTGACCACCTCCATGCCCTCATGCGGAAGGCGTCGACGACGGCGGCGAGCGAGAGCGCGCGCGTGGTGTGGGAGGCCTTGTGGAGGAAGATGAGGGGCAGCGCGATGTGGGGGTTTAGCTCGGACTCTAGGTCCGCATGCACAATGAGGTTGCGCTCGACAACACCAGCCGCCTCGCCGCCATTACGTCCGCGACCTGGAGCCAGCCGACCAACATCGCGGATTTGTACTACTGTTGGTGACCGGTGAGGCGGTGATCTCTCGCGTTGGGTTTTTGCGGCCGACCACGCTCCACCGCCGCGCGTCCTCGCCGCCTCGCTCCATGTCTCACTGCCCTCGCCGCCGCCGCCATCGGAGCCGGCCGAGCGCTACCCCGGCGTGTAATACGTCGCTTCCTTGTTGGGCGACCCACCCACCGCCTGCAGCTGCCTCTGCCCCATCCAGCCGTTGTCCTCGGCTCCTCGCTCGCCGTTCGTAGCTGCCTCCACCCCCTCCTGCCGCCGTCCTTCGTGCCCGTCGCCCTGTCTCCACGCTCGCCGGCCGCCGTCCTCCGCCCCCGCCCGTCGGCGGCCTCGGTTCCTAGCCCGCCACCCGCAGCCGCCCCGCCCGCCTCAGCTTCTCGCCCGCCACCCGCGCTCGGCCGCCTCTGTTCACCGAGAGAGAGGCAGAGAAGGAGGAGAGAAAAATAGATGTGCTGACAGGTGGGCCCTACCATTTTTTAATTTGTTTTTGCTGACTGTATCACCACGTGTGTGCCACGTAGGCTAAAAACCGTTTCAAATCGAGTTAGGGTGGTAATTTATCTATTTTTAAGAGTTTAGGGTGTCAAATGTCCGGTATTTTAGTTTAGGGGGGAAATTGTACTACCGCAATAGTTTTTTTTTTTTGGTGGGGGGGGGGGCTGCGGGGGGCTAATTCGTACTTTTTCCTATACATAACAACATGAAACTACAAGTAACTTTAGCTGGAATAATAATTCAATATCAAAAAAATTATATAACTAAATCTGTTTTTTTAGCTATAAATAATTCAATATAGAGAAAAATTATAAGTTACAAAATTTTTAATGGATCAAATAATGCTAAAACTAATACTGCAAATGGAAAAACAAACTGAAAATCCGATCCATTAATCTGAATAGGTACCCTTTTCATTGACATAAATTAGACTTTTCCTGTTCTGTTCATATTCCTATGGGTTCAATATTATGTGAGTTGTCCAAGAGCATGATTGGGCTAGACTAGGAAGGAACAGTGCCTTCGTCTATAGATGGTGGAGGTTGGCAACGAAAAAAAATCAGAACAACATGAATGCGGCTGACAACGATGTGGTACCGATAGAGATATAAATGGCAACGTACCGATAGAGATACAACGACGAGCTCTGATGGTGAACACGACCAGATGAGTGCATCAAAACACGTTCCTGGATGAGGGGGTTCCATTTTCCTTGAGCGCGTAGAAAGAACGATAGATGGAGAAAAAAATGATTAACACTGTTTATCGTCTTCCCTAGCCGAAACAATAAACATAAGAGGAGGGAAGATGGGCACCTGTCCTCCGGCGACCGAACAACGGTGTGTAAGGTGGCCGGACGTATCCCATAACGTGCCTCGTCCATAGATGTTGGCGGTTGGCAATGAAGAAAACCAGAATATCATGAAAAACAATGATGTGGTCCTGATAGAGTGAGAAATGGCAACAGCGAGCTCTATTGGTGAACACAACCGATGAGTTCGTCAAAAGGTGTTCCCGGATGAGGGGATTCCGGTTTCCTTGAACGTGCAGGAAGAACAAAAGATGGAGAAAAATTACTAACGCTGTTCATCGCCTACCCTAGCTGAAACAAAACAACAGAAGAGGAGTGAAGTTGGGTGCCCATTCTCCCGCGACCAAATGGTAGTGAGTAAGGTGGCCGTATGTGTCTCACGATATGACACATCTATAGATGGTGGCCGTTGGTAACGAAGAAAACCAGATAGCGGGAACGCGACCGGCAACAACGTTGTCCTGCAAAACGGCAACAACGAGGTCTGGTAGTGAACACGGCCAAGTGAGAGCGTCAAAACATATTCCTAGACGTGGGGGTTCCATTTTTATTGAACGCGCATGAGGGAGGGAGGGTAGGGGAAAGGGGCGCTAGGAGGATGGGGTGATAGGGAGGAGGGGTGCCAGAGAGGAGAGGGGCTGCGGGGAAAGGGGGAGCGCGTGCAGCAGGGTAGGATTGGACGATGTTATGGGATCAGGAGAGAAAGATGGGGTTGCGACGGGAGGAAGGGAGGGAGGAAGGAGCGCGGCCGTGGGGGATGGGGAGGACAGACGAAATTGGGTCCAGAAGCTTTACGTATTTTTTTAGTTAGATATAGATATTAATTATTTTGATATGACACACCCTTCTCACAAAATTAATCTCAGGATTTTTTGGATTTCAAACATGTTTTTTTTGTGACACCAATCATTTTTATTATTAATATAGTAAATTCAATAAAACTACCTTTATATTTTAGTAAAGTTATGAAAGCAAATATATAAATTTAACTTGTTATATGACAAAACAATATTTTCAAGGCTAAACTTATCACAAAATTACATATTTAGAACATCATCATCAATAGAAAAATAACAAAAGACATAACATGCAATAATATGCCTCAATGTCTTATACATAGTGAAGCTAGGTCACAACACATTAAATGCTAAAGTTTGCTATAAGCTTGTGGCTCGGCTACAATGTTTTTAAAAGCGGTACACGGTTTCAATGTCTTATACATCGTGAAGCTAGCTAGATTACAACACACTAAATGCTAAAGTTTGCCATGAGCTTATGGCTCACTTGTTATTGAAAAGCGGTACACACTTTCGTGTGGTCACCTCACCAGCTTGTAGCGCTTAAGCAGCATAATAGAATGCTTATGCGACTTAACCGGTATAAGGTTGGGGCACCCGTTTCTTGTATACAACCTTGGTAGACTTTTTGTTGGGTTCGCGTCTTCTGCTATTAGGGAGTAAATAGTAGATGCAAACAGTAAAATGTCATGTGTGATACAGTGTTTTACTATAGCTACCGTAGAAATCACTGTAGAAACAGTGAAAAGTACCATCTAATCATTATATTAGAATGACCGTAGCAATTAATCTCGTGCATCCAAATTTAATCCAATGGCTATGAATAGTAATGGCATGGATCATTGTAGTTCTTGATCATTCCAGATGGAATGGCAGAGGATACGATCCCCTCAAGCATTGAGTGGCTATAGATGGTGGGGTCACAAGCACCACGTAGGCCTCTTATAAGACGAGTATCACACAACTAAAACTCTAATATGTATTGATTTAATTACAAAACTACAGATTAATTGAAAAAACTTGGTTTTATCACAAAATTATTGATTTTAAAGCCTCCGTTAAGACAAGAATATAATGTCAGTATGAATCATATTGTTTTACGATAAATTATACACTACATCTTAAGCTTTGCGATACTATGTTTTATACATTATAAATTTAACGTTAATAGCGTAGTTATGCCACACCACTTAAATATGTAGTACTATCACACTTTTGTCAAACTAGGAAGGTAGCCCGTGCATTCACGCGGACATGCATCTTAAGATGTGTTTGAGATACTTATAGTTATAAGGATGGAATATTTACCGTAGAAAACCATCACGCTTTGAAAACAATTTCTCTGTGCATTTTTTTGTCATCATTGCCTGTAATTTGATTAATCCCCATAAGAAGAAGGAAAACTTACTTTGTTTTAAAAAATATATCTAAAAAATTAAGTGTAAATTAAAAATAATGTACTTCTTGTTTTTAAATTGAATGTTAGCGGACATTTTTCTAAATTTTTTTAAAACTATTATCCCTAACAAATGTGTTCTATTTGTACCATCAAGCTAGACCTCCTTTTATTTGGTTTATATTGATGCAATTTGTTACATACTTACATATGAATCAATAAACATAGAGGAGATATACATATCCTAGGTCTTGCTTCCCTATGATATATGTATTCTATGGTGTTTTTTTTTAAAAAAAAAACTAATCAACATGAATCTTGAAATTGAAATCTAATAGTAAGAAATATAAATTTTAAACCAACTATATACTGCTACCTTAGTGTAACTTATATATGCAATAATTTTTGGAGAAATTCATAATGCCTTGGCGTAGGATAGAGAAAAATTCATTAATATCGGAGCACTTAAATATATTTTTGCATGCATTATTATTTTTTGAAGTGTGGTGTATTATTAATGCACGCTTGAATAGCTATCCATAATATACTAAAAAGTGCATTAAATACTATCTAAAGTTGATTAGATTGTAATATAATATAGTTTAGAGCACTTACACAAAAGATCATTTGTCTTGCTCAAATTATTTGAACATACTAATTTCGTGAAAATTATGAAGGCACCCGATTTTTATGCAGTGGTTTAGACTATCTATATATGAGTTAGTTTTTTTACTTAATTTAGCTATGCATGTTTGCAAAACAATGTATGCAAGTGCAACATGTGTTGTTGAATTATTTTGTATTTTTTAATTGTAATTCGGTTGACATGTAAAAGACCAATGGTGTGTGTTCCTTGTAATATCCCGGGTTTTAGCTATAGTCTTAGTTACGCTAATGACTTGATCACACTGGCTGAGAGCGGTGTTGATTGAGCCACGATGCTGGCTAGTACCTATAAATATATAAATATGTTGGTTGTTGTTCTATTATGGATCTTAAATGATTTTTCGATCGTTTCCTTGTCCTTCATTTTTCAAGCCATATCCATATGCATCATTGATTTATTGTTAGTTAGACTAAATCACCGGGATAATTTAGTTTTGGTTAAACTATGGCATAGATTAGTCGTCACGAAGTGAGGTACACATGTGCACAGTAGAAATCACACCATTCTTTATTTACAAATTACAGGTCTGCATATATACATGCATATAATTATGCAGTAGAAATCTTATACACTAGAAAAATCTTATACAGTATGCATCTCATATATTGTGCATATACATGGTGCTTATAGTATCATATCATAAACTGAACCATCCCAGTCAAAGATTCAATTAATTATTTATTCAGAAAAACTCTTGAGTTCTAGGGCAATTACAAATCAGTCCCTAATCTCAAAGCAACCTTCAATATTAGAGACTCTGAGGGACTCAAGTGCAAAAGTACCTAATTATATCAGACTATCTAATAAAAAAAATTAGTGAAACCCTACAATACTCCACCGATCAAGCACTGCATAGGTGTCAAAGCTAGGAGCAGCCATCTAGCCCAAGTAGGTGAGTCACTTAGCTTTCACTAAAAATTCCCACATATATTAACTCAGCTATCTGTGAACCAGCCTCGGTTTGGTCGTGCAGATCAGCATAGGCAGCAAGCAGTGGCAGTAGTAGTAGCAACAGCAAGAGCACAGCCATGTCGCAGCAGCCTCAGCCGCAACAGCAGTAGCAGCAAGCAGTTCGTATGCAAAACCATCTCAAAAGAGAGAGATAGCAGAGCAGTAGCTAGTAATCCGGCACCACAGTTACACCAAATCTCAATAGCAGCAGCCATAGAAAAACAACCAGGGTGAGAGAGTAGAAGGAAAAGAAAGGGGATGCATGTGTTTCAAGAAGAGCAAGGGGTTTCAATTTAAAGAGGAGAAACAAGTAGCAGATCCGGAAGGGCAGCAGTAAACAAGAGGAGGAGCAACACCCTGACCAATTTCAAAAGAAGCTGTAGAACCAGAGGAGAGTCACACGGTCATTAGTCTTCCACAGCCACAGTAGAACCATCAAATAAGGTAATCTGGAAAAAGAATTAGAATGAGAGGGAAATCACATCATGTCATGATTCTTGGTTGATGCATATATTAGTATGTTTAGGAGTTGTGTGCACGCACTTAGTTATATGCATTAAACCTGAAAAATGAACCTCAGGAGATGGCAGCTATGTTGATCTGTGCATATACTAGTATGTGTAGGCCTTGGGTGTTGCATTTGCATCCATTAGAAGCTGAACCAGAACATCTCTGATTCAGTAAAATATTCACATTAATAGTTTGATCTTCAGAACGGTTTGTGTAACTAAAATTTTACTATAGATAAACAGGTGCTCAGGTGATAAATCAAGAAACAGTAGAATGTATATAAAGATATCATCAGTCTTATGTCTTTATCAAATTTAGTAACTGCAGATCTTTATTCATAGTACAAATATTGATATTCTTGACATATAGATAAAATCAGATTTTAGATTTAGCCATGGACTTGGAAATTAGTATCTGAACCCTAGCACATATTCAATTTATCATGAAACATAAGGACCATAACAACTCTATCAATTAGGCTAGTTCAATTAGTAAACAGTAGTATATATTTTAGATTGTATAGAATCACCATATAATTGGATTTAGGGTGAAACATTCATTTATATATAATACCAAGTTCAGGAAGCACTGGTATTTCAGATTAAAATATAGAAGATCATGTAGCAGCAGGTTTTAGTAAAAAGAATAGAACTGAGCAATTAAGGATACCAAACAGAAAACCATAGGTTCTTACAGAAAATAATCTAGAGAAGAGGTTAGAGCATAGCATCTGAATCAAGTGGATATGTATATAATTAGTTGACCAATAGTTTAATCCATGTCCTCATCAACCACTGTAATTAAATAATGTATAAATTTGGTTATTAATCACACAAGCATATAGAGATGAAAATCTGGACACTAGTAATATCAAGGATAAACAATGCATGAGTTTACTAATTCTATGGGATTTATATGTGTAATATGTGCATATGTATATCTTCATTTTTTTCAGTTTAAGTGCAAAATTAGTAGTAGCTTATGAATTATCAGGAAGCAGTAATATCCATAGGGACTTGATCATGTTAGTGTGCTTTTAATTTCAGTCCTGCATTTTCATAAGATATATTCATATGAGCATTCATTCATCATGGGCATACAGGCATCATCCAATCTAGCAAATGAATTGATCTAGAACCCTAAAACTAGTAAATACAATCAATAGCATAGAGTCATCAAGTTGATCATTAGGATTAGTCTCCAAGTATCATCAGTGCATCACAACCATAAATCATAAGGGAAAGAACACCTTACCAGTATAACACACTAGAGATCAGGGAAAAGGAGATAGAAGGGAGGAATCGAAGTGGTAGCAGCGGTAGGGGCCTGGGAACTTCCTCTGAATCCTTACCTCGCCGGAGTTTTGCCGGCGGCTGCATTTAGGATTGAGGAGGTTGGAAGTTAGGTTTAGCTTAGGGGCAGAGAAGCGTGGAGCCAAGAAACCGATTCGCGGCTGCGGGACATCTGCTTGAGGGGTCGCCGGAGTGGGGCGCGGTAGCCGGCGCTAGGGAGAGTGGCGGCGTCGCCGGCGCTGCCTAGGAAGCGGCGGCACTGGAAAGAACGTGGGGGAGAGAAGGGGAGAACGAGGAGAAAAAAAAGAGAAGAGGAAGAAGGTGGTGTAGTGGGCTTTTCTGTTGGGCTTCTACATGTGGGCTGTATATATGAGTACTATTGAATTTAATTATTATTGATTATTGAATATAAATCTAAAGTAAAACTTCTTTCAATTAAAATAATTACTCTTTTAAAAATAAAAAGTGCAATGATGTTTGTTTTAACACTAAATATGTTAGTGCAAAACTAAATTATGTTATATAAATCATAGATCGTTACCAAATCAAAACATACAAATATATTTAACCATATTCAACTTAAAAATAAATATGGGTCATCTAGTTGAGTCTTGAGGTGAGAGTCGATAACCTATAGTGTTGTAGATCAGCTGTAATATTAGGGTTAGGTATATCATGTGCATCATACTAATATCTACATTCTTGGTTTTAGTTCTAATTTGCCATATTTTTACAGATGAATATTTATCTTGGATTTCATCGAATTCTTCATTGATTTATTCGTTCTTCGATTTCGGGTATCTCAGGCAAGTCCAACACCTTTGATCAACTCTTGTTATATTTTTATAATTGCAATCTATATGTATCACCTTGCATTAAATTATATTTTCTATAATTGAAATAAATATGCTGATGGATTGGATTGACTGGTGGAGCAGTCGGTCATATTATAGATGTATTCTGAACCTGCTATGGTGGTGGGGTTTCGGTTGCACATATTTATCATCATAAGGTTAAATAATAACTGTTATATGGCATTCAAGCGTCGTAGCGATCGTGTCGACCATATGACCTGGAATGGGACATGCTGGCTTAGTAGTTCTTTCTTAATGGTTTTATCCTGCGGCTTAAGGACTTCCGCGAATCCTGTGAGCGTGGGCTAGCGATGAGGGTTGCCGTTGTTGCGGAATCCGATTAGATGATGTGGATCGCCGTTGTTGCGGGATCCGATGATTCGCCGTTGTTGCGGGAATCACCCGCAGAGATTATTGCCAGATGGGATTGATGAAAAGCTTGTGACCTTAGCCTTGCCGGCATACACCATGAAGTGTGCTTCAAGCGCCGACGGGCGTGGGCATTAAAAGGTTTAAGGCGTCTGTGGGTACAGCGACACACCTCTGCAGAGTGTATGAATTGTGATATGTCACTCCCTGTTTCGGGTAGAAACTGCGAACACGGCAGGAAAGGAACCTATCGGAGGTTCTAATACCTGTGGTGCCTTATATACAGTAGATTTTATAATTACTTAATATGAGTTTTTACAACACTGTTTTATGAACATGCATAAAATTCCTTGTTGGATTATGGTGGCTTTGGACATATATGTATTATACAGGTGGATTATGGGCATGTATTTGTTGGATTGCTGTAGTTGGACTTGTTGAGTACCATTCGTACTCATCCCCTATATATATTATTCCTTGTAGTGTTGAGCTAACAATTAGGTGGAGAAATGTTCTACATGATTGATCAAGATCAAAGCAAAGAATCGTTCCATATTTCTACATCAACTGAGAGTTGAAGGTGACGAAGGTATAGAGTAGCAAGGTACTGTTAGTGCTTATTTTGACAAAAAGTTATTTTTTTATGGTTTTATTTAATGGGTTTCGCTACAATTGTTTCTGCTATGCTACTCTGGTGTGCCCATTTCTCGGTAAGTTAATTCTTACTAAGGAATGAGCCGTAGACCGGTATTCTACCTCGGAAGTGGAATACGAGGGTCGCTACATTCCTCTAAATTTTTTATTCAATGGCTTGGACTATTTACATGTGAGCTATTTTTTCTTAGTCATTGTATATCTAATTTGGTTTTGCGTGTTTGTAAAAATAATATATGATAGTGCAACCTGTGTTGTTGAATTGTTTCATCGTTTTTTATCATTTGGATGACATGCAAAAGTAGAAGGGTGTTTTCCATCAACAAAAATTAATGTTTCATACTTGGATTTATAATTTTTTTTGCATAAAATTCGTAGAGTTTAGCCATGTATGTTTGTATACTGGCGTATAATGACGTAATATATGTTGACAACTTATTATAATATTTTGGTGCTATTTGGATTACACGCCAAGTGCATGGGTCAACTATGCCCAAATTTTATATTTCTTATATGGTATAATATAGGCACATGAACCTTATATTACTGGTTTGACTCCAACAATTGAATTAGAAATCAGACGTATAACTTATAATTGTAATTATTGATTGTTTCTTACAGTTTGATAGCTAAAACAAATGAGGCCAGGAATGAAGAGCATAGGCTCCAGCCACAGAGGGAAAAGAAAGGTTGAGGAGTGCTTTGCGCAGATTGGGGGGACTCTCTTTTTCTAAATGATTTAGTTGATGACCAAATGTTTTTTTTCTCAGATTACTATATTTGTTTTTTAATTTTTAAGGCGTGACATATCACAGGTTATGATTTTTCAATAAGTAGATTTAATGGCTGAAAAAAAATTTAAGTGAAAACCGATGATAAGATGTTTTGTGCTTTCCTTTTAATTTCTAAGTTTTTTCTAATTTTCAAATGTGACATATGGTGACTTAATAGCGCTATGACACATAGTGACTCCATATTTTTCTAATTTATACTCCCTCCATTTAGTCACATTTCAGAAAATCGATTTTACAGTTTTGATCATCCCATTTGTGTCGGTCTTCTTGGTTCCCACACGCGCGTCGATTAAGTTTTCTCGCGGAGTTAATTCGCCCTCAAGAGATCAATCGCTCCTTCCTTTTCTACCGTGCGAGGCAACAGATTCGTTTTTCACCACGCGGCAACCGCCTCCTATTTGTTTATCGCGGTCGCATGCATCCAGCTTTAATTGTGGGCCGAGGCATGCAGGCCCGTTGGCTAGCTGATAAGAGCCTGGGCTTATAGAGTTATAAGCGTGTTTATTTTCCTTTGGTCTTAGCGTCAAGCCAAAATAAGATGATCAAAAGTAAACGGAGGGAGTATTATGTAAAATAATTTAGGATGACATAATAAATATTGTTAGTTTTTTTAGTGTTCTCATTGTTGTTTGATTGTTGGTCTATGTTCAAATTATGTATTTCCAATTTCATATAGCAAAATATGAGTAATGTAGATCCTGATTTTCTTATTTAGTTATAAATAAAACTAAACAAAAGAACATTTCAAACAAATTTAAAATGGGTGTTATTTGGTTGCCATGCAAAGAAGAAATATCTATTCAAATTATGTATTTAATTTTTTTATACAGGAAAATATGGGTAATATGGATATGAATTTATTTATAGATCTAATTATAAAAACAACAGTTCAAATACATTAAAAATTATATATAATTATGATCATTTAGCTATCTAAGTATTCATTATTGTTCTTTTAAATTATAAGTCAAAAATATATCATTTAATAATTTATAGAAGCATCAAATCATTAATCATCCTTTGTTTTTTAATATATCTAATGGCCCATCATTTTAAGTTATATATAATTATTAATTTATCCAATGTACTAAAATAATGGATCACCGAGAGCTTATAGAATGTGACAGATTAAAAACATTTATAGAATATTTAATGGACTTTTAGTATACAATAGATATAAAGGGACAAAGGAAGAGCTAGCTAGACCGAAATCAATCTGTGAGTTTTTTTTCCATAATTAAAAATAATTTTAGTTTTTGTTATTTTGGGGATAAACAAAGCAAAGGAACGGAGGACAGCATACTTACGTTGTAAGTTCTACGTGTGCATTCCACATAGAGGTGGAGACGGAGGGATGTTTTCTTTAACGGAGATCTAACCATATAAAATAATGAGTCCACTGATTTAAATGAAAATCGATAGTCATATTCTTTATTTTATTACGGTGCCATGTGGCGGTATGGAAGTGCTTATAGGGTCCTATGTGGCAATACGAGAGTGTTTGTAGGAAGTTTAATGGACTTTTCGTATATAATAGATTATCGGCGGTTTTGTTAAATAACCTCTTCTTATTATTACTATATGTACCTTTCAACAGTATATATGATATAGCCAACTACATGCATGACAAAAAAAAGTTTAAATCTAGAAATATAATACGATATACATGTGTATGATTATTTTTTATTTTCTTGAAAAAGTTTAAAAAATAGAAAAAAAAATCCTAAAACCAACTATAACATTGATACCACAGAAAACACAGCAGTTGAAATTGTCAATTTAATATTTTACGAGTATATTTTCACCTTTTGTTTTTGGCAAAATTTACTAAATTACATATCATGGAAGAAAGAAGCAACCAAGAACACAATATATATATATATATATATATATATATATATATATATATATATATATATATATATATATATATATATATATATATAAACACATATACATATACATACATACATACAAAAATATGTACAAGAATGAATAAATTCATCAGCAGCTATTTACATAGGGTTGTCCAACTTTATTTATGTATGTGTATGACTCCTAAAAGAAATTAACATGTGCATAAGGGTCTGATACATCCTGATAAGGATGAGTACAAATTTTATTGAGTATACTATAATAAATGCATCTGTTGTCTAGAAATTTTTTTCATAACCTTTATTTGTAGCTCCTATATATTACACCTTTATTTATTCACACGAGCTTTGAGTAGTGAGCTTATATGCATATAGTCTTCAGCTAGCATCGGAGACAACTAGATGACCTCAATTTTATCGACGTGAATTCGTAGTGCCTGCAAAAATGAAAAATAATTTGCAAATAAGAAAGAAAAGTGTGCGCGTGCACACAAGAGCAAATGATGATTATGAGATGAAAAATGTTACCATTCGAAGTTCCATTATCGTGATTAGTTGAAGGGTTGAAAGGCAACTTGTTCTTTTTTGTGTTATCCCACGACTTCGGTGGTTCAACTGGCCTGACGAGAGCTCCATATGCTTCATTTTTTTAAGCAAAAACCGAATTAGTATTATTGCAAAGTAATACAAAACTAAAGCAAAATAACTCATACAAAGATGATTTGTAGAGACGTTCTTTCTAGTACTATATACTATAGATCCATTTTGAAAATACTTTGTAATCCGTAGAATGTCTCATAAGTGCAATCTAATGAATTTTCTCTAAAAACAACATTTTTTAATTTGCTCAATACCATAAAAAAAAACACAGAATTGGACACAGTACGATTGTATTTGTCATTGACATATGGGTCCAGGCCCTACATGTCATCTTCACATACGATTTTATTTTGCAACTAGTGTATATATCTCTGCAGTGGTGTTTCCCAAATTTTCTTCTTTTTTACGTCTATAAATGAAGAGGCATTTCCATAATGCCATTCTTAATTATTATGTGCCTGATGTTACTTGTATCTTGTTTCTTAGCATAAATTAAGCACAAAATAAGTTTCTCTATGGAGTTGACGCCTACAGAAAATGTCTCTATATATGAGGCAAATTATAAAATGCTAAAAAGACGCATCTTCAAAAGAATTTAGCAAAATGTGCTAACTATCTCTAAGGTGAATCTAGGATAAAAGTATTCTAGGTGATTTTTAATGTCTCTAAAAGTCTCTATACAACAGAACAGCTGACTTTACATGCAATTATTAAATCATAAATCGCCTCTAGAAAAGTATCGCTAAGTAAGGTTTCTGTTATAGTTGGGGTTCAAACCCTGGTGTGCACGGACATGATTAAATGACACTGAGGTTGTGTTTAGTTTCACGCTAAAATTGGATGTTTGAAGAAAAAAGTTCAAAAATTTATATGTGTAGGAAAGTTTTGATGTGATGAAAAAGTTGGAAGTTTAAATAAAAAGATGGGAACTAAACTCGGCCTGAGTTGATACTCTGGCTGGAAGTTATAGTCACATCATTCAAAACTTTTTATGCTAACCTTATCTATGGAAGTTATATGTATAATAATTTAGTTATGGGATGCTAGCCCTAGGGCCAAAAAGTTTCCAATAATCCCTCAGTTTAGACATTTGATATTATAATTATTTTGGTATGATAATTAAGTGTATTTAAAATACTTGAATATTAGGAGAAAAATGGAAACTAAGCCTTGTAATGTTGGGATCTGTTTCAACTGCTGTTATCCATCAGAAAGCTTATGTGTTTGGCCTTAAATGTGGCCATTGTCAACAGATTTTCAAAATGGAGAAATTATGCCTTATATTAGTGCAATTCTCGCTATGATCAGCTCGATAAAATTATCTCGTGATCTTTATTTATATATGTTGGCGGCCTTGTCTTTGTTGCTTGCACAGAATCATTTATATTTAATAATATTACTCGACTAACATGAAGAAACCCTCCATAAGCACTTGCGAAATATTTCCGGGCCACGAAAACAACACAAGCAAAAGAAACATGATTTATATACATTCAAACTTAACATTAATTGGTGTAAAAAAAACTTAACATTAATTTGAAAAAAATTAAACTGAAGGGTGAATTAATTGCCGATGTTTTTATATGACCAGATAATTAATTAGATTGATCACTAAATCAAAGAACCAGGGGCAAATCCACGTAGAGGCCATGTGATGCACAGGACACATGATAAAACTTTGAAATACTATTAACGTTAGCTCATGCTAGGTATGTAAATACTGTATTATATCCGTAATACATAGTTATAGATACCCGGTAACTAACCAGGATCAGTTGTCGTTTGCTGGCCATTCTTCTGAGGTTGATACTCTTTGCGTGGTCTGTTGCCACCCATCTTAAGCTTAATCTCAGGACTAAGTCCTGCATGCATGAACAATATACACACACATATATATATAGGCATGATTAGAGAGCAAATGCTTGCAAACACAACATATATATGCACATAAGTTTGGAAGATAATATACCCGATGCCATGTATTTTTTCTGATCGGCCATTTTGCAGTTAGGGATCTCAGTGGAGAAAACCTCAATCAATTAAATCGTTAATTGATAAGGTGTTCGTGTGAGTTTTCTGCTAGCTAGCTTTTTGGAGCTGTGTCATTTTGGGCTATGTATATGAGCGCCTTATATAGGCAAAGTATCCCAAAACCCTACGGTAATTCACGATCAATGTTCTTATGAAATACGCTGGAATAGTCATGGAAGATGGTGATGCTCTCTTGTGTCTGTCCCTTGTTTGAACCCATCTTACATAACTTACTATTAATATTTCAACCCCAGATGTATATATATTTAAGAAGACAGATAATCAAGTAGTGTTTGTGTCTGTCCCTTGTTTGAACCCATCTTACATAACTTGCTATTAATATTTCATCCCCAGATATATATTTAAGAAGACAGATAATCAAGTAGTGGTATTGCATACATATGTTTTTATATTGTAACCTATACATAAGTTGGTTTGTGTTAGCTTGTTAGCTCTTGAGGCATTCAGGGATTTGTTCAGGCATGGAAAGGCATTCAGGGATTTGTTCAGGCATGGAAAGGCATGCATCATGTATGCCTTTCCATACGCATATAGTGCAATGTATTTGAATATCAAGTAATTCTCAATAGGAATTATTTGTACAGCCATGGCTATGACAATGTAAATTACCGGCTAAACTATTTGATTGACTGGACTGGTTTCGCGTTCTTCATCTAACTACCCTTGAATTTTTTGTACAGGAGGTTAATTTACTGAGCGATCTCTCGACCATCCTGAAGAATATGAGGTATTTTCCTGCGTTATTCCTGTCTTTGATTCAGTTCAAGCCGTACGTAGGCAGAGCTCGTCGATCGATCAACCGCCCTGGCTACAAATTTAACTAAAACTTGGACTCATTAATTCATTCAGACATGCTAATATATAGTATATATATATACACATGAAGACGAATAGATCGGCAGCAGGCATGTGCATGATTTGTTCCTGAATGCGCGTAGTTGTTGCAGAGTGCAAACAATGCAGAACTTCTAATCAGAGATTGCAATTTCGGAACGAATTTTTGAAATTTCGCTCCTTACCGGCAAGCATATATATCTCGCCCGGAAATTTCTTTTTTCTTTTTAATTTTTTGTGAATTTGATCAAAATTTCTTAAATTGATTCAAGATATGTTAAACTTCCAAGTAATATCTGTCAAAAAGTACCGAAATTAAATTTTGCTAGAAAACGAAATAGTAAAACCCTGCTTCCAACTTGATTTCAGTTGCAACTGCAGGTAAATAATCTCTGATGGTTACGTTCTTGGCAAAAATCTTCATATGCTCGCTGCAGGTGCAGGCTATAAATCTAGATGGCCTCGTTGAAATTTCCAAGCTAGTGTAGTTAACTGTTGATGAGGTCGCCATTAATTTGCCTGGTCCAATATATGGCCGATTAATATAAGCTCAGTCGCCTACCGATCGAACCACTAATTTAACTCGATCGCTTGTCTTCAAGCATTGCCGTGAATTAAATTAAAGCGTGTGCCGATCTTCATATTGTTTCATCACTAATTTCTCGTCAATTTCTACGTCCTCGGACGTAACTCATGCACTGACCGGGTCAAAATTTCGAACTAGCTAGGTCGGTGCTTGTAATTTGACTTTTTAATTCCTTGCCAAGAAAGAAAAACTTGCCTCCTTCATTGTAAATTAGACGGGAGTGCATGCAAGCGTGTAAGGCTGTGTGGCCATTACAGGATATATAACAGTACTCTCTCTCTCTCTCTCTCTCTCTCTCTCTCTCTCTCTCTCTCTCTCTTACATTATAAGATGTTTAAAAAAATTCTTTAGTCATTTTTAAAAATTTGATCAAATTTATAAAAAAGCATAGCCATATTTTAAAAAAAAAACAAACGTACTATAAAATATTTATTCAATGTTAGACTTAATAAAACTAATTTAGTGTTGTAGATGTAAATTTTATTAAACTTAGAGAAATTTGACTTAGAGAAAAGCTAAAATATTTCATAATATGAAACAGAGAGAGAGAATTAAGTATGGTTCTAAATAATGATACGTAAGGACCGTGGTAACTTTTTGATCTGAACCAATTGGCAAAAAAATATTAACATAAAAATATAGTTAGTCAATTCTATTCAATAATGTCACAATTATGGCATCTTTAGAACGGAGGAAGTTTGCAGGAATTTAACTAATTAATTATTGTTAAAGTCTTAAAAAAATTGCTGCATTCCAATGAACCGTAAGACTGAACGCATGTTGTAGTGTGTAAAATACTACGTCATAGACACACACGATTAATTAGTCCAATTACAAAGTACATGATTATTTACTATTTCATTATTTGTCCACAAATATAAGATTCATAGTTTGAAATTTGTGATTCACAAATATAATTTGTTTTCCATTTTAGTCTTATTTAATGAAGGTGTCAGAGATGGGACTAGGGGCCCATCCCCTCGTCCTCCTCGGGATACCATGGGCCCCACTGAGACCAAAAAGATCTACATTTTCAAGGTACTAAGAAGATTTTACATGCAACCATCAACATCCTCACATTTATCATTAAATTCTCCATCATCGACATCTTCGAGAAGGTTGTCCAATTCAAGGTGTCGAAGATGTTATATTCATCATTACCTTCTCCATCATCGACATCTTTGATAAGGTTGTCCAATCCAACGAGGAACTCTACATTGGGCAACAGGGGTGGACACGTGTGCCCCGAGCACATGCTGGTCCCGAGCAAAGCTGCCACCTGAGAAGAAAACACAGATCGACCGACGATGGGCCCCCTACCCCGGGCTCTCCTCAGAGGACTCTATCCAACATAAATGCTTTGTTTAGCCCGTGCTTAGTATTAATCACATTGAAGAGTGAGTTAGGGTACAACTCACCCTGACCACGAGAGTCGTAGCGCCGCATGGCGCACTTTGCACGCCCATGTCGACCGAAGAAAAGGGGGGGGGGGGCTTAACGGCACACCCTCTGCAACTGGCTCGCAGGCCCACCTCGGCCCATCACAGAGGCTGACTGGTGGGTCTATCAGACCTGGGAGAAGACTTTCTTGCACCTTGCCTCACTTGTCAAACGGTGGGTGAAACCATCACATCTGGGCAGTTTGCTTGGAGGGACATTGACAAGAGTTAGCAACATACCCAAAGTAGTAAGAGTGGTCCCACCCCAACTCCATGCATGCAATTGTATTGTGGACTACCCTTCATGTATAATAGGAGGATCCATACCACCGTGAGAGGGGTTTGAGTTTTATAGTTCTCAACCACCTAGAAGTTAAGTGCGCACGGTTCATTGCCTTTGGACTTAGTTTTCTCTGTATTCCTCATTGTAAAACATCTCATCGATCCATAGTACACATCAAAGGAGTAGGGTATTACACATCAATGCGGCTCGAACCTGTATGCTCGACTGTGGTCATTGTTTTCTTCCACGATCAGTCCAGATCCCGAGCTCAAGCATAGCACCATGGCTGAACTTTTCTAGGGGGAGTGCCAAGCTTCCCCGCTCGAGGATTTCTATACTCCGACATAGGGGCATGTGATACTAAGCTATTTGCCTTTGATCCTTACTCTCTTCAAAAGAAAATCCATAGGTGGTTTATATTTGTGGACGGAGGAACACTATTACATAAATTATTTTTTTCGATGAGCACCCCAATAGGTTGTAGATTGGCCATAAGTGGCCGCATTTGCAAACATTGACCCCTATTTTCGTATACGGCTCCTTAAAAAGACCCATGAAAAAAAATTAATTTTTCCAAGCGGGCCTCTTAACTCACTCGCATTCAAAATCGCCCCTCTCATTTTTTATTCTCCCCTCCTTTCTCTCTCTCCACGCACTCTCCTCCCCATCTCTCTCTCTCTCTCTCTCCCACCGAAACTCCTCTCCCACTCCTTTCCTGGCCTCCTCTCCCCTCTCCTCCCTTCCGGTGGTGGCAACGGCGCCTTCCTCGTCTTCTCTCCCACACCTCGTCTCCCCTCTCCCCTCTCCCGATGATGGTGGAGGGCTCGGGTGGCGGGGGAGGGTGGAGGAAACACGCAAGGACGGAGGTGGCCGTCTCCCACACGAATCAGGCGCGGAAGCCTTCCCCACCCGGATCTTGGGGCGCCCCCCCCCCAATGGCCGATCTGACGGTAACTGCCCTCCCCCGCGACAACGATGACCTCGACGGCGACGACGATGGCCCAGGTGGCGGATCTAGGGTTTCTGGGGATTTATTTTGCGATTTTTTATTTTCGTAGATGGCCAGTTTAAGCACCACCTACATGGAAAAATAATAATTTTCACAGGCTTTTGGTGAGACGGGCCAGAGACCCGCATGCGAAAATCCATTTTGGTTGTTTGGAAAAATTGTTCCTATACTAGTGGGAATAGCTAGCAAATGCTTGAGTTTATTATACCTCCCCAAAGAATAAAATGCTAGGAAGTATAATTGGTCAAAACCATCCAGGTTGATTAAGGACAGCTCAAATCTTTTTGGACAATGGAGTAATTGACTAGATACCTTTTTTAATCAGAAAACATGATTAGACCAACTAATAATTGCACTTCGGACCATTTTCTGGTAACTAAATGCAAGAATTTATCTCATATGCAATTTTGTATGTGCTAAATGCATTATTTTAGATACTCATGAGTGATGGTCGCTCTTGGTTCTATGTACGTCTGCACAGACCCGTTACAGAAGAAATGGATATATTCTGAAAATTGAAGAGAGTACAAAATTATGTTTTCCTCCTCGGGCTGTCAAAAGAATTCAGCAATATGTGCTATATATGTACATTATTTTTCATTAACATGATGATTGTTATTGGAGATCTCAAAATAAGAATCCAACACTCCGAAGGTTCAATATATATCAACAATAATATGTGCTCTACATTATTTCCCATTAACTGGACTGATATGGAATGAACATATATTAACCAATGTATTATATACAGACCAAAATGCAATAAAAATAAAAAAATAAAATACTGTGGTGACCTTGACTACTAGTAAATTACATACTATATGCTCCGAAATGGATACACCAGTTACAGACAAATTAATGTAAATGCAGTAGACAATCCTGATATTCTACTTCATTGTGGCTTTGTGACCTTCTCTCTTGTATAAGCTCTTAATTAATTACCTGATGAAAAAAAAGCACATATGTTAATTGGTGCGTTTCTCACAAGCTGCAACGTAACGTAAATTTGTGTGAGCTGCAGGAGATGGACACCCGGTTAATTAGCTTACTTTTTTCCCTTGCCTCCACCCTGAACTTTATCGTTCTTCTTCGGAGCAGGTTTACTCGAAGCTTTCTTGGTCGGCGGCTGGTTAGATTTAGTTTCTGCATGGCGTACACAGCAAAAGAAATGTCTTACATCTCATATTGTGTATATGCATCCATGCAATAATACCATCACCATATATATTGATAATTAACTTACTGCTTTAGCTAGAATTTACTCTCACCTCACGGTTTATATATACACGCATGCATTCATAAGTTGTCTATGCATGGAGTTTTCAAAAAACATTTTGCAGAGCACACTGTACAAAAAGACTCGAACGAGTACATATATTTTCAGATTTCGTAGACAGAATAGAAGTGCTGCGACAATTAATTTGTTCAGTCTGAGAAAAAATCGATCGGGTCTGTCCATATAATATGAAAAAGAAGTAAATATTCTCAACGTTTTAATTTTTTTTGGCTTTCTCCTAAGTTAACCATTTCTAACGTTGACACTATTAGATTTAGATTTTAAGATTCATATGGTTTAAAAACATGCAAACTATATATTATGAAAATATTTCTCATCATAAATCTGAAAACATAAATCTTATGATGTTAAACCTGCAGATGAAATTTTAGAAACTAATTGTCAAAGTTAGATACAACAAGTAATTTGAAGTGGAGGATATAACACCGGAGATTTTTTTTTGGCCCAAAAGAAAAGCATAAAAGCAGAAAAAATAATTTGTATAAAATATATTATTTTGAAAGAAACCAGGCGATTAATTTTATTTTTTTTGAAAGAAACCAGGCGATAAGTTAATTGCCTGAATTTTTTCTCGAACGAGTTTTAAGCAGTAAGCACTAACCCGAATCTATCTTCAACACTTCACGTTCTTTGCCCCCACCTACAGAAGGCACGCGCTTACTACTTCCTGCATGAATAATACATACTATGGTTAATTAAACCAAATGCTGAAAGAAACTACTGAAGAACAAAATGAGTCTATGCGCATAAGCTTGGAAGCTCATGTGTATAGCTTCATATGTATACCCGTTGCCTGGGCGGGCATCTTGTTCCTCTTGCAGCTGGGATCTCCTTGAGAAAAAAAAAACTCAATCGATTGATTGAAAAATAAAGGAAAACTTTTTGCTAGAAGGATTGCCTTGGAGCTGTGACAGTTTTGTTTTCGTTTATGTATGTGCAATATATATAGGCGAGAGGTGAGTACGTATAACCTTAATCCTAAGTAATTACGATCAATGTGCATGGGAAAATACACTGGAATAGTCATGGAAGATGCAAATGCTTGTGTTCTTCTGTGTTTGCCATCTTTCTTAATTTTCATTAACATGTTTAGGAGAACTGGTATAAGTTGCATTTTCTTGTGATCGGGAGTAGCCGCGTTGTTATTAATTAATGCCATTGTAAACAGATCGACGTGTGGTTTATTTTGTGTTAGATAGCACTCGGGACAATCAGGAATTTCATAGCAGCTGGCTTGGAGAGAAATTTACTGACGCAGAAATTTGAGTGTGGAAGAATGATATATGGAGTATTTCTCTAGAAGAACTATGTCTACAACCTGCCATGGAAATGACAACAAAATTTCTAGACTGACAAATTAAATTAAATGCCACAGAAATGATCACTTTTGCAGGTTTCGCGCGCGTTGTTCACCTAGCTAGCTAGCCTTAAGTCGGTTTTGCTCAACGATCTCTCGACTGCATGCGGGAGATGATGATGAGGCATTTTCCTGCGTTATTCCTCCTGATTTAATTCAAGGGCGCAGCTACCATTTTGAGCCGCGTTATGTTCAGCTCTTCGATCAACCGCCATGGCTAAATAATTTTAATTATAAGTTGGACTGTCAATACAGATATGCAAGATTTGTTATCTGAATATTCATGCGAGCATGCATGCAGTTGCTTCAGATTTGGCACACAACTTCCTACGTGATTCCGAGCTCACTTTCTTAATTAATTCAATTCATGGACATTGTTTTTGCATGTGCTGCATGTAATCTAGAATGCTGACCTTGCAAATAGAACAACGTCTACATAATTAAACTCCCTGCAGGATTTTACTGCATTTGCTGTCGCTGAAATTCCCCATCAAATCGGCGAGGTCGTCGCAATTAATTGATCCCTCTGGCAGAGAACGATCGACAAATTCTACTATCTGACTTCAGTTATAGCAACGTGGCAAATTAAAAAGCGTGTCAAATTGATCTATAAATTAAAACAACTGAACCGACAGCAATATTTACCATGCTAGCTACTCCCTCCGTCTCATGATATAAGGGATTTTGAGTTTTTGCTTGCAACGTTTGACCACTCCTCTTATTTAAATTTTTTTGAAATTATTATTTATTTTATTTGTGACTTACTTTATTATCTACAGTACTTTGAGCACAACTTTTCGTGTTTTATATTTGAAAAAAAAATTGAATAAGACGAGTGGTCAAACGTTGTAAGCAAAAACTTAAAATCCCTTATATTGTGGGATGGAGGGAGTAGTTTCCACCGATCAGGACACATCCAAGCTAAAATTGAAGAGATTAAAAGTCACCTAATTTTAGTCATATCGATATTACTGATTTATTAGAAGAGTGCGAAATATTCAAAATTAACTGAAGAGATAAAAAGATTAATTACTTTTGACATATATCAAGGTTTCTTGGAGTGATAGGCAGGATTATTCAAACTTAAAGCGCGACTTTGACTATTCCCCTTTAGTCAGTTATATGACGGTGACACGGGTCAACATATATATGCCCGTGTTTGATGCGATATTTGGAAAGTCAAATATGTGATTTGATGCTAATGCATTCGTTGTTTGACGCGTCTAATGGGAGCCAAGTGCTTCCCCAAGAAGCTTTCTCTCCGTAAACCTAACCCCTTTTAAAATAATCCTTAATTCTGCTAGGCCTTCAATTTCAAACAGAAATCAACTAATTTTAAAGCACATAAATATGTGTGGGAAACAATGGCTATGACGATGCCCATGGTCAATGGATCAATACCTCTCTGAAATTCCCAGCCAATTGAAATGGATTAGCTCGCGTGTGTTGCTTGTACTTGCACATGCATGTGCCGGCAGGTATACCAATAGCTACGACGGTCGTTTCCAAGAAAATCATGTGAAAAGTGCATTGTTGTCTTCTACAATCTATGAGACATATTTTAGAGGCTGTCCAAATTCATAATTCTAATTCTAATTCTAAAGTAGCTTCAAAGACAGCACATCAGTGAACCAACTACAATTGCATATATTGCTGAAGATGTGAAATTGCTTAATGGTTTATGAATTATGGATTATTAATTACCGGCATGCTTCTTAATATCTACAACTGTATAGATTTTACAAAACAAAACTAATTTATCAGTATTTCTCAGAAAACTTTTCCAAATCAACTTATCATATTTCTAATATTTAAAGTATTTATTTGTGTTCTTGAATAATTGTTTTTGTCTATCATCCACCATCTAAAAAAAATCTCAAAATCTTGAATAAAAACATTGAGTTGTACTTGGTTAGAGTCTCAATTTTTTTTTATGATTTCACCATACAAAACTCAAAATTAACAAGTTGTCCTAAAATTCTAACATCTCAATTATAATATTGATATGATTTAACGATTCTAACTTTTGAATTAGTAAATATCAAGATGATTTTGGTTGTTTAAAATATGTACTCCGGTGTCTCCCTGGGGATGCAAGGGTTAATGGTTAGTTTTCCTAATTAAATTTTTTGATTTTCGTACTCAGAAAGTGCCATCTTTCTGAGTGGCGTATATCAATTTTCGAAGGTAAGCAAAGCAATCTTCATTTTCCATGAATCTGCATGACATGACAAATGGATGCATGCCATTGGCTGGCTTAGTGTTTGAATATTCTGAAGATGAAGATAAAGATTAAGATTAAGTTTTTTACGCAAAACGATGTGGTATTAACGTATGATTGATTGAGTTTTAATTATTACAAACTTGAAAAATAGATTAATATAAAAGCAACTTTCATATAGAAAGTTTTCGCACGAAACGGACCGTTTAGCAGTTTGAAAAGCGTGCTACAAAAATCTTAATCTTCATTCAACTCTTGTTGGAGAAAAGAACGGGACATAATGTCACGTACAGCTTGGCATAAAATTTTCAGTTGCTGGCTTTGCATATGTGACATGGGTACGCGTTGCGTTGACATTTTCCCCAATTAAACTCGCTCGGTCATAAAATGTAAAATTTCTATTATTATCATCATCTCAAAATTTAGTAACTTCGATGCTATAGCATTCAAAATTTTTTACTCCTCTTGTTTATTAACGATCACAATATTTTTTTCAATTAATTTATCTATTTTTTTAATACATGTATCCAACTTTAAAAATGTTTATATTTTTATTTTGTACGGCGAGTACTCTTTTCGCGTGACACATCGAATAGCCTTCTGCGTGGGCTGCTCAGACGGTTGTAGCCAAAATTTGAATATTCAACCTTAAATTTGGAGCTGTTTTTGAGTTTTTTTCATCGAAGTTTATTTTATAGCCTTTGCTTTTAGATTTCTAAGATCACGGATATAAAAATTTTATTCACAAATTACTTTCCATTTGCAAATATGTCGTTTCGATGGCTTCGAAAAATAGCTCAATTGCAAATCAATACAGTAATTATGCGGTTTTTCCGACCATGTTCCAACCAAACAGAGGTGATGGTAATTTAAGTTTCAATTGTGGACGGCTTCTGTATTGGTCTGTGATTGTACATAATTTAATTGGCGTGTTGAAACCTTCTGGAGGTCCTGTGCTTCCAGCAAAATTCCTACAGATTTCTCATTCCATACATGCTCAGAAAACACTGTAAACGAGCCAGCAGGTACCTACTGACAGAACCTAACACTAATTCTATACTCCCTCCGCCCCAAAAAAAAAAAAGGCAAACCCTGGATTTCCGTGTCTAACTTTGATTGTCCGTCTTATATGAATTTTTTTTATAATTCGTATTTTTATTGTTGTTAGATGATAAAACATGATTAATATTTTATGCATGACTTGTCTTTTTAATTTTTTTCATAACTTTTTCAAATAAAACAGACGGTCAAACGTTGGGCACAGAAACCAGGGTTTGTCTTTTTTTTGGGACGAAGAGAGCTCTCCAGAAGGATATATTATGGTGAGTTTAATTTCAGAGTAAATATTTTGCTAAAACTATCATCGATGTATCACAAAATTTAGCATTAAGTTTTCCATGGAATTGTAGATTGAACGTGGAGTTTCACAGGACTTAGATTGAATAGCAAATTTATCACAACACTACAGATTTACTATCAATTTAATCACAAAACCATAACGTTTATAGATGCAACATAGTAGTAGCGCTAGGGATTTAATATGTAAATATGTAGTTTTGTGATAACTTTAATATTAAATCTATAGTTTTATGATAGTTTGGCTAAAATATCTTTAGTTTTGTGAAATTTACTCTTAATTTCAACTAATCCTTCTTCATGGGAAACTGCGCGAGATGAATTTAATTGATTGAACAACAATTTTTCACACATAGATACAATGACATGCCATCCATACATTCATTTTATTTGAGACCCTGTATACAATATGTATATTGACCGAACAATTAATGAATGAACATAATATGAACAAATCGAACACGCATCGACGCAAAAAAATGTACATATATACTAATGAACTACATGCTGATGAACCGCCTGAAGACTCATGAACACTGACATTATTTTCTTCACGCTTACTATGCTATTTGTATATGGTAAGAATTTGCATATTTTGTTCTTCCACAAGCACTGCCAAATCAATTCTTCAGCCGTTGAGTGACGGGAACTTCTTCGTCCTAATGCTCTTGCCTAGGAAGAAAAAACACATATTGACAAGCAGAGACAGGGGATTAGCCAAACTAATTAATAACTATTTCACATGCATCTATATATAAGTCTAAATTAGTGAGGCTTAATTTTTCTTTTGCTCACTTGTGTAGGTGCTGTTCTCCGCTCCACCACCTCCCTGTTGGCCGTGATTGCTGCTCATGCTGCTAATGTAGTACTGATGATCTGAGTTTTGCTGCTCCGGCATCCTGCCAGTCGAACTACCCTTGGATGCAGATCCTGCACAAAATTAACAGCGTAAAAAAACATATGATATGAAGAATTGCAGGGTGTAATAATACAATGTACTGTTTATATCAGCTAATTACTAACTACCATTGTAATACGATGAAGCAGCTGATTGGGCGTTGTTTTCTTTGTAGGAGTTGCCGTAGTTTGTTGTTCCCTGCTGATTCGGCTTGGAGTTCGAATACCCTGCATGCATGGATTCATTGAGTTAGAGAGCTAGTTTATTCATACAAAATAGCTATATATATAAAGAGATTTGCTCCGGTTCAACAAAAAGTATTTTGAGGTACCGGTACCTCACAGTATCAAATCGTTTCCGATCGTTGGATCTAACCGTGCCCATCCCGCTCAGCTAGATCCAACGATCGGAAACGATATAGCATCGTGTGGTACCGGTACCTCGAGATACTTTTTCTTGACTGGAGCAAATTTCATATATAAAATACAGTACAATATTGTTAATTTGATCAAGAAGTTAATACTAGTCACCTTTTGAGTAGTAGTCCATTCTGATCGAGATTCTTGTAAATGCTTGATCGAAGGGGATTATTGTTGAGAGCAAGTACATCTGTTGAGTTTATATAGGATCGATCTCAACCTAAGACAATCAAAATCCTGGGAACATTCACTGAATGCACCTTATTTACAGTCGTTTTGGCCTCCTTCTAGTTCTTGACAATATTATTGCTCTCCTGAAGCAACCTCCTGTTTCCAAGAATATGCATGCCATTAGCTGAGAGTACGTGTACGTACAAGTCACAAATTTTCAGTTTGCTGGGGAACGTTTACAATGGTCACATGGGTACGCCTAGCTAGTGTTTTGACATAGGAGTATATTTTTCATTTTTTTGTTCAATACCGTGTTGCGTTGTGGTGAACTCCTCGATCGATCTGTTAGCTGTTTAGACGGTTTCAGCCAGCAAATTAAAGAAACTTTCAACGCAAATCGCGATACAGCGCTGCAAGCTCTGAGCTAATTCTACAGTTTTTCCCGCCATGTTCCAGCCAAACGGGCGATGCTAAGTTAAGTTTAAATCATGCATGGACGGTTAGTTTCCGTGTTGATCGGTAGTTTCGATATAATTTATTTATAATGTTCAAGCCTTACTGAATACTCATGGACATTTCCCATGGAAGTCATCAGAATACTTCGTAACCATACCACATAGTAACCGAATTGGAAGCAAATTTAAGTAATCAATGAAGGGATACGAACTTGCATGTATTTTTTCCCTGTGGTTTCTACTGCCATTAGACCGGACAATGTCGGCAAGAAAAAAAAACAGAGAGGTTAGTGTAAAACGCAGGTAATTCTGCACGGTGACCAACTCTTTCTGTTTCATGTCAGCGATTTAATTTGACACAATTTCCTGGACATTAATTTCTCGTGGAATTTAGAAGTCAAAATACTTTGAATAAACACAACTACTAGCCCCATTCCAAACTCCAAGTTAACTAAGCATATTAGCGGCAGACAAAAAGCATGCTAATGAAAAAAATGATATTTTATAGTAGTTGTATTTTACTAACTCAACATCACATAAATGATCAGCTACATAAATATTACACGTAAACTTCCATCGGGTTTCCGTTGTGAAATTGCTTCGTAGTAATAATATTAACTTCCACGCCTAGACCAAGATTAATTAACTCCCTGGCACATGTGTTGCAACAGCGCATCTAACGATGGAATACTCCATGGTCAGGTAATATTCTACTAAAAGAAAAACTAATACTCTCTCCGTTTTTCTATCTTTGACACAGTTCATTTTTTAACCTCTGTTTTTAACATTCGTCATATTAAAAAAAATTACTGTGGTGTAATTTGTATCGCTACAAATAATTTAAGAATGACATATTTTATATATTTATAAAAATATTTTAATAAGACAAACGGTCCAAATGTATTTTTAAAATCAATGGCATAAAAAAATGGAGGGATGAAATCGGTTGTGGTTGGGAATAAATCCCTCCTTCACGCAAAACGAAGCAGTACGTGCTTTATTAAGTAATACCTATTCTTTTTTTAAAAAAATGAATCAATATGATTTTTTAAAGTCAACTTTCGTATAATTTTTTTTTTTGCAAAGAACACACTATTTAGCAATTTGAAAAGCGTAGGCATGTAAAATAAGAGAAGTGAGTCGGGAAAGTAAGTTTCTAACAAATGTACGTCTACCCAAAATGGATAGTGTCAGTCTTTTTTGCCTTAGTTCCGGAAACATAAATAAATCTAGCACAGAGCAAGTCTCATTAAAAGAGGTGTTGTCATCAATTATATTTTTTAATTACTAATTTCTAAATTAAATAAGTAAAATTATAAATTGAGATTCTAATATATATGGATACAGCTTCGTATTTATAATTCTAGTTTTTTAAAAGTTTAAAGAACTAAAGAGTCTAATTTACAATGGCATATTATCTTTAACATGAATTTGGTATATTCTTTTGGATAAATGAACTAATTATATGCCTTTGTTGTTTTTGCAAGCACATTGTAAGAGAAAGTTTAATAGTATAGCCCACTACTGGCTCCAATTCATCTATAGCCAATCTAATAGCCAATTCATACAATAATCATTTACTATACTATTAATATATGGTTCCACATGTCATACACACACTGCGTCTTAGAGTCCGTGCTGCAGCTGGCTACAGATCTGTAGACCGCTCCTCTTCCCTCTCATCTTTTATCTCATTAAAATATGTTTATAGCTGGCTAATAGTTTGCTATTGTACATGCTCTAATGGGTTTGTTTGATGTTCCAATAAATATTCGTGACCATATTTGTTTCGTTTCGTATTTGCTCTGTATTTTTATTTGATGATATTTGATTTCCTTTTGGTATCCCTAGTTTCTGTTTCTGGTTCCGATTCCAAAGATAAAAACTGAAAATATATATGGTAGCAGTAGTTTCTGTATGTTTTCGAGCCGTTTCTTTGATCCCTAGTCTCGGGGTATACACATATGAGCAAACAAATTTTATTGAACAAACAAATTTACATTCCTAAGTGTATATACATTGATCCACCTAATTTTGCTGACTTCCTGGAAATCTTGGTACGACGCGTAGCTCCTAGAAATTACACCATTATTTATTCACACGAGCTTATCAGACACGAACAAATTTAAATTCGTATATATACACGAGTTTTTTACAATAGGATTGAGTATGTGCAGCCTCTGCCATCGCATTCATGGATAACAACGAATTGTCAGTACTCCTTGTTGGTTTGCTGGCTACTCGCGCTCTCCTGCCAAAATGTAAAGTTAGTTCTGGATTGAAAAGCTCAACAAGGTCGCGAATAAATAATATAAAAGGATAGATATATATGATTATTTGCATATATATTAGGTTAATTACCTTTCACTTTTCCCTTGTGGCAGCCACCTGCCTGACCAATTGATGTTGTGTAAATGTAATGAGACATGCTCTGTGCTAGCCCTCCTGTGAAGCTCATTGCTGGGACTGGGTGAGAAGTGCCTGTAGCTACAACACCACGAAATTAAACCCAGCATCAGTCACCTACCTAGCTCATCTCTTTTGCTACTAGCTACCTTCATTAATTATTTTTTCCATTAGTAACGTTAATTTTGGATATATATATTTAATTACATATAGTTTTCAAGTATATATATGCATAGGTTTGATGAGCTATTAATTTTTACATTTTAAGATAGAAATAAAAATAACTCAAGCAGCAATTGAATTATTTCACACGGTATATATACTTATAGAAGAAGCAAATAATTAAAATCAACTGTTTGATCAACCAATTCAACGATGACAAGCTAGAGCTAACCTCTATCGTCCCCTCCCTGATTAGTGCCCGTGGTCGACGCTCCAGAGGAGGAGCCACCTCCACCCAGGGTAGCCACAGGCTTTGAAGTTCCTGCAAGAATAATTATTGCATGAGTGAACAGTTAATTAGCTACAAAAGTAATACTGCCGTCGTAAAATATAGCAATTTTGTATTAGTGAACATATCTGCACATATATGCACAGAGGTTTGGAAGATCGTACCCGTAGCGGTGGCCATTCCTCCTACTTATGTAAGAATCTTATTCTTGGGAAAAACTTCGAAATGAAATTGTTGATCTGTACGTCGTGTGTGATAAATTATTTTGGCTTGCGTTTGTGCCACTTATATAGATAATAAGTAGCCTTAGGATTACTGTCTGTAATTACGATCATTGTGATAGGAAAGTGCAGTGGAGTAGTCATGGAAGCTGCAAATTACTTTGACATTGAATTTTTGTTGCAGAAAAACAGACCTGAACGTAAGTTGTCCAATTTTACCGTTAGTTCTAAGGAACGACATGTAATCGTGTCTTAATATCCCTAGAGCCAAGAAGGAAATTCCTAGGCACGACGGGGGATATATTTCTCCCAGTCAATGTAGAATTGCAGAGTGTTGGATACTGCACATGCAAGTTAACTGATCAAGCTGGTTCATTTCACTGTACAATCTATATGTCCTAAAATATAACAAATATTCCTACCATTCAACATTTATCATAATAAGTAATTTCTCAACCTATATTATCTTCTCAACCAGTCACGCAACATTTTCCATTTAAGTTCTATACCTACTTAACCAATCGTAACGTTCTCTCGTTTAGTTACACCAGCTGATTCTTTAATCTTCATGCATGCCACCTCAAAAGTTTTTATATTTTGGATGAGACATGGTAGTAATTAATGCAAGCCAAGAGTAGTACTACTACCTTTGTCATAATAATTATATTTCTATCAATCAAATTTATTAAAAAACATTATATTTGTAAAACTAATCCAATCCTATCTTACCGTAAAGTTGATGCGCACTAAATACTAAAACTCGACATGCAAGTGTGCCACATCATTACTTAATAGCAATTATTATCCAGAATATTTTAAATCACACGCAAGTGTGCCACATTATCACCACTAGCAATTATTATTTCGAATATTTTAAATATAAACATGACATATCATTTATAATTTTATTGTATTTTTAGAACTCAATATGCAAGCTAGTAATGTCAAATTGTTATCTCCACATCATTTTCACATTATTTTAACATGTATATCTATTGTTTCTATAATGTATAACTTGCATTTATCCGTATATCCCGCCGCAAAGGTTGGGGTATCAACTAGTTAATTATAGAGATATCCTACCTTATACCCTCCCATCTATCCCCATCTGCCTTTATTCTACTAGGAAGGTCTCGCGCGCTACGCCGCGCAGGTGTAATAGACGTGTCTAAAAGAGCCTAAGACGCATGTTATTGGAGCTTACTGAAAGTGTTATATTTAGCTGGCAATTTAGCCTGTGTGGGACAACAGAACAAGTAACTCATTTCAAGCTGTAATGAGCTTGATTGGTTCTATGTTTAAATTTGGGCTCTTATAGACGTACTGCTATGATTTAAGGATATACACCTCCTGTTAGATTCAGGCACTCAGTAAGTAAGCATGTTCTCATGCTTAGATTACATACAGTCTGTTGGAGGTGCATTATATCCTGACAGAGTGATGTGCCATGCTGGGATATATGGCATGGAAGAATCAATGCATGTAGTAACTATATCGCAAAACATCTCCAATCACAACAGTTGCAGCTATAGCAAATAACACAAAGGGGCATTTTGTGCCATTTAGTGAAAGTAGCCTGGTTTCAGAAATGGCAAGCACCATTGACTGAATATGCACAATCCTTTGTAGGGATAATTTTTAGAAGCTCAATATTATGAATCGGCGATACGAATCATTTAGTGTTTGCCTATTAGACATGGTGAGCTAGCAATAGCTAGAACATCAGTTGGTTGATCCCCAGGCCAATACAGAAGAACATATCCTTGGTCTTATCTTCCCAGCACAAAACAAAGAGTGGCCGAAGCATGAGCATTGCTATACTTGAGACAGCTTCTTGCCATGGTAGGTGGGATAATATTACATGGGAGCCCCAAATCTAAAGTGAATGGGCAGTTAGTACTTGTTTAAACAAATTACCACACAAGTAGAACATAACTGTTTAAAATAATTACTTACATTTGAGCGACTCCAGTGGCAGTGTATCTCAGAATAGCTCGCACAATACTGAAGCTCTGGGATGACCACCTTCATCAGGAGATGAGCTACAGATGCATGTCATTTGGCCCATCTGAAAACATAATTATATTATATATCATATGCGGCTAACGAAGGTTTTGTATGTTACTGCATCCTAAGCACTCTGTAGTATGTCCAATTTTCAAAACCTAAAATATTGTGAATTGCATCTTTGAAGTAACATAAAAGTAATTATGTATAGCTTAGCACCTAAAAAGGTATAGGTTTGTCTTGCCATTCCAAAGATATGACTATAATATCTGAACATAAAATGTCTACTAATTCTCCATGATACAAAGGGCAAAAATAATTATCGTGTTTTTTTTTTTTTGCATTGATTCAATTCAAGAAGCGTCAAGATTGACCTGATAGTCCATATAACATTACTAATGCCACCATGCAAAAATTTAATAAGCACATCTCAGAAATAAATCAAATAAGAAAGTTCATAAGGATTACCTCTTGCTCAGAACTCCGGAGCAGAGATCAATGCAGTATGAATGTTCACTATTATCTTATCTTGTGTTTGTTTCTCAGTGGAACAATTGACAGCTTCATCCATTATGTTTTCCTGAGCTGAGGATAGTGCATTGGCCCTCTAGACAGGAATAGGTATTTTGCAAGAGGAAATTTGTTCCTTTAAACTGACCAACGATTTTTCACTTGTCTGAAGATCAAGAACAATTGAGAATAATCAGATACCATGGCTGTCCTGGACGAAACAACAATTTGGTAAAATCCTCTTCAGATATTTAAAACCGAACAATAGCTATTGCAATAGGATGTTTCATTTGTATAATTTTGAAATGGGTAATCTGGCACATAATACCAAACTGCAGTTCTCAATAGTTTAATGCCACCATATCACTTATATCGTTATGTATCATACACAGTGAAGAATATAGAGAATGCATGGCAATAATTTGTGTTGGTCCTGCATGAACTCGTGTATAATGAGGTGAAACTAATCTATACAGATAACACTTCAGCGAATAAAGTAGCACATCTAAAATTTCCCATAAGTTTTTTTTACAACAAAACTGAAAGCCACTTACCTACAAAATTGTTGTGTACCCTTTGATGAATATCTCTTGCTTTGTACTTGTATCTTGGGTGACCTACCGATTATAAGTGTCTGGCAACTATCTCACAGGCTGAGACACATCATATATTAGAGAAATCATAATGAACTGTACATATCGCTGAAATTAAATAGAACATGACTCTAGATTCGTTAATGCGACCAAGTGAGGTGCCATGTCAGTTTTCGAAAATCATTGTCATCCAGTAGCTGATATAAAAATATTGAATTGCAATATATACAGAGCAAGAAAAACAAGAAACCACAACTCTGTTAATAGAAAAGCTTGATACAATAAGTAAACTAATATGCAAACATTGGATTGAGGATCACATACCTTACAACATTTAGTTACAGAGTGGCAATATTTGACCATATAGACAGGATGAAAACCCTTGCAAGTTGACAGCTCGAGTTATGGTTGAACTGCAATACAACAGAGTTCAGATTGTGATAACTTCTATTCTACTTGGTAGATTTCCATGTTCTTTACCTTAATAGAGGGCTTAAGGAACCCTGTACAACTCCATAGTTATTTGCATTCCTTGATTTGGCCTCTAAAGACTGAAAAAGTTAGGTATATCCAAATTGAACAATTTTGTGAAAATAAAAACAAATAACTGAAATTAGGACAAAGCATGAACCTACCTCCTAAATATCAAGCCAATCATATCTGAATCTGAATGTACACCATACGATGAGGGATTGGAATAGGTAGCCTAAAAACGCATTAGCAGATTACTTAGGTATCCCAGTTTCCTCCTCCCTCACATTTCCCCCCTTGCTCCTTGATTCCTCCTGTTGCTGCTTGCTCAGCCTCCCAACTCAGCTCCATCTTGCAGGCTTGCAGCCACTGATGTAGTTGACCAGAGAAGGGTGAAGGAAGGGGATAAAAGAAGGCAAAGAATGCAGCAGACTCACCAGAGAAATCCAGAGAAGATGAACGGAGCAGCCGAGGAGGGAGCTTGAACAAAAGAAAACCCCACTCCCGTGTACGGAGATGAGGCAATGGTCAGTGGCCAATCCGATCGCCACCGTACGGGGAGACGAACGCCGATGGATGCGGCTACACGGATTGTGCCGACGGAGGAGATCATGCATCCAACGTCTGGGCACGGGATAGCAGATGGCAAGCCGTCGTGGGCGACGACCTACGATGGAAGATCTTGGAGGAGGCGAGGAGCATCGATGCCACCTCTAGACGGAGAAATCAGGGAGGATCGCTCGATGGGGACGACGGGATGCGACGTGGGGAGATGAGCGACGACCGATTCCACGGGTAGGTAAGGACGGAGCCATCTAGATAGGAGACGAACGGTCAGATTGTGTCCACGCGTGGGGTTGAACGGCTCTGATTCAGTGGACTCGGCTGGAAATACCGAAATAATGAGGGGATTTCTGCAAAAATCGATGAGTGCATCGGCAGGGCCCGCAGTTAATCTAACGCTTATTATTTTTTTTGTTTGTTATGACGTGTCGATGTCGCAGTGGGCGCTGGCTTCCCAAATCGCTAGGAGGGCAGCTAATCCAGCACCTTTAAGATATCTAATATGCATGTATGGTTATTTTGGTCGTTTACATGTACTGCAAATATATATATCTGATTTTTTTGGAAATACAATGACCAACCCCTATATAAGGGACATGGCCGATTCAATTGTAACTAACCAATCTACAATCAATCAATCGAATCGTTTTTCATATTGCTTTTAGTTTTCTCTTAGTTTGTCCATCTTTGTCGATTTGCGCAGTAAATCATCTGCCGCCGCTGCGAGAGTGCGACACCTCTTTGTAGGTTTGTCCTTAAAACCTTCCGTTTTGCCCACGAGACGGGTAGTTATCTAGAAATCGGCTTCGCTAGCCGGTTTGGTTATCGAAACCCATCTTGGTCTAGTTTTTGCTAGATTAAGGTGGTTGGCGACTCTAGGATCACCGCAAGGCGTAAGGTGTTGCGATCGTTGTTGTCAACTTGTCACAAAAAGTTACCAACACAATTTTTGGCGACTCCACTGGGGAGATCTACTCAACGTCAACTCAACTTCGACTTTGCCATGACGAAGTCGCCGCCATCCAAGACGGAGGTAGAGCCATCCAATGTGATACCTATCACATTGGATGATTTCGAAGGGGAAGACCGCAAGACCATGGAGGAGTACATCAAGGAGATCACACAGGAGGCACTATTGAGGGCGTGCACTAGGACTCGTCAAGGCGTGATCATCAAGCCCGGGCCACGTCCTAAGTTTACTCCCGATGTGGTAAGTAATGAAGAGGTAACACAATCTATACAACAACAAATTGCATCTACAATAGATTCATCCATGATTACTTTTAAAAATAAGTTAGATGCATCTATTGAGAATCAATTTGAAGGATTTTTGAGAACTAGATTCGGCCCTCTCATGGCTGATTTTATGTTCAAAGATAAAGCCTCTACCAGTGCTAGTCAAGCCTCTATAGATCAAACAAATAGCAAAACCGATGGGGCTGCGCACACAGCCGGTCCGACCGGGCCTCATGGCCGGTCAGGCCGCGACTTCTCCGTCGGTCAGACCAGCTAGACGGCCGGTCCGACCGGGTAATACCCTGGCGACTCCCGGTCTGACCGCACCTTTGGACGTCGGTCAAACCGGGCCCTGGACCGGTCAGACCGGCACAATTATCCCGATTCAGGGGGTAGATCCAATGACAAATAATGCTTATTTGTATCATCTTAGAACATTTGATCCCCCTGTATCTACAGCCACTACTAATCCCCAAATTCCCCTACATGTTCCTAATGCTTATAATGATGTTGCTAGGGGGTATCCTCCTGATACTAGGCAAGGCCAATATAATCATATTGCGCCACAAACACAACCTATTAGGCCACTAAATCCACCACCAAATCAACATAGGCCTGATAATATGGAGGAAATAATTAGTAGGATTATTAGAGATAAATTTGGGATTGAAGCTAGGAATCGAGCTAAGGTTTACCAAAAGCCGTATCCTTATTATTATGATAATGTGCCATATCCTCGTGGTTTTAGAGTTCCCGAATTTACCAAATTTAGTGGTGAGGATAGTAGGACCACATGGGAGCATGTAGGTCAATTTTCAGCGCAATATGGTGAGGCTAATAATGATACCTTTAAATTACGCTTGTTTTCTTTATCTTTGTACGGTACTGCTTTTACATGGTTCACTTCTTTACCGGCAAATTGTATTCATACTTGGGCTCAATTAGAACAAAGATTTCATGATTATTTTTATACTGGTGAAACTGAGCTTAGGTTATCTGATTTAACATCGGTTAAGCAAAAGTATAATGAATCTGTCATTGATTATGTTAAGAGATTTAGAGATGTTAGAAACCGATGTTATAGCTTGAATATAACTGATAGAGATTTGGCTGATCTTGCTTTTAATGGTTTAATTGCTCCTATTAAAGAAAGATTAGATGGCCAACAATTTCTTGATGTTAGTTAACTCATGCAAAAAGCTTTGGCTCAGGAAAGCCGGGTTAAGGATAATAAAAAAATTGCTAGACCATATGAGAAGAAGCCTAATGTTAATTTGATTTATTACCATGAAGCTAGTGATAGTGAGGGTGAGGGTGATCATGATATGTATGTTGCCGAGTGGTCATGGACTAACAAAAATAAACCTTTTGTTTGTTCTAATTTAATGTCGACTCCTCGTAAAGATCGGCAAAGTGAGGTTAAATATAGTTTTGATGTGGCCAAGTGTGATAAGATCTTTGATTATCTTTTGCAAGAAAAACAAATTAGATTACCTAAAGGCCATATCATACCATCTCAAGAAGAATTGAAACATCGAGCTTATTGTAAATGGCATGATTCTCACTCTCATTCTACTAATGATTGCAATGTGTTTCGACGATAGGTTCAATCGGCCATAGATGAAGGACGATTGAAGTTCACCGATGGTTCCAAGATGAAGCTTGATCATGATCCTTTTCTGGTGAATACAATTAATTTCAATGATAAGAAGGTGTTGATTCAGCCGGAGCAAGCCGAATCTACTAAGGGGAAAGGAGTGATCATTGGAAGAACCTAGGCCAAAGATGATAGTGCCAAAGAAGCCGGAGGTTGGTGTGTGGAAGGAGAATAGGAGTGAGGCTTCAACATCTAAAGCTCCTAGGAAGACCAAGGTGACTTTGGATATGCTTTTGGAGAAGTATGAGAAGCAAGGTGGTGAGAGGGCACACAACAAAGGAAAGAGACCAAGATCACCTCCTAGGGAGCGATTTGGTCACTCACCAAGACGGTCGCAATCACCTCCATATCATCATTCACAAGACATGCCATGGGGGCCTTACCCAATGCCGCCGCCGGGTTATCCTTATCCTTACTACATGCCATGGGGATACCGCCAATGTTCAATCATATGCCTCCAATGCAATTCAACCAAGGGTGGAGAGGACCAAGGAGGTCAATTCATGAGCGTTTGTCTTCACCAAACAATAGCCAGTTTTATGGAAAAAATCAGATTAATGAAGAAAAGAGGGAAAGAAAGCGTGTTAAGGTGGAGGCGAGGACTTCGGAGGTGATTACCATCAAAGTGGGGTCTCATGATGTGCCAATACCTTCTGGAGATGGAGTTGGGGAGTCCTCAAGCAACAAATCCGAAGCCGGGACCAGCTCATCGCAGTCGGCCGGTCTGACCAGGCCCTCTGGCCGGTCTGACCGCAGTTCTACAGATGGTCTGACCGGGCCAGCAGGCCGGTCTGACCGCTGGCCTCACGTCGGTCAGACCGGGCCATTAGGCCGGTCTGACCACCGACTCCACATCGGTCTGTTAACGACCAAATTTGGTAACCTTAGTATCGGAGATGGAGATTAGATCGAAGCGGAATCGAAGACAAAGATCGTTTCGGAAACAGAGCAAGAATCGGCTGGAGTCCAAATCGGCTACGATCAGATCGGCAGGGTTCGAGTCGGATAGGGTTAGCCGATACAGCCGATTCTGACAATATGACTCGGTTTACGTCATCAAGCTGAGTTAATGTGCTTCACGTGGATTGCCACACATGGATAGAGTCCTAAAAAGGCAATTGTATCTATTAATTAGGATATTTTATGTAATTTCTTTATAGATAAGTGTGGGCAAAAGTCTGCCGCAAAGACTTATGGTATCTTAGAGTTTGTTAGAGATAAGAGTCGTGTCCGATATGGACATGTTTTGTAATCTCGGGTATAAATAGACCCCGAACCCCATGTAATTAGATAACACACGTTCAAATACAATCTCGGCGCTTCGCCACCCTTTTACTTTCGTTTTGTTTCGACGAGTTCTTGCTTTCGGGTTGAGCTGTATCGGTTTCGATCTTTAACTAGAGGTATGACTTGTTATGGCGGCTTGCGTTCTCGGGATTAGTGCTTCCATCATTATGATACTCTAATCCTATCTATGTAAGTTGTCGAGTTATCGTATATCTTATATAATCTTTGACAATATTGCTATCTAACCTCCAATCAGCTAATATCTATTGCTAGAGAGCAGCCGATTAGGTCAAATATCGACGTTGGCTTGACTTATATAGGATATCTACCACTCTATGAAGCTTCCAATAGCTTGATTGTCTAGATATTATCTTTCTTTTCATACTTATGGCTGCATCAGTTAGGTTTGATCTCATAAGTCGTGCTTAGAATTATAATCTCTAGGCAGCTCTTTGGTTGCCGATTAGAGTAGCATCGGGGTTTCAGCCGATCTTACCTGATTTAGCCTTATATTTCATGTGCTTAATTGATATGCTAAATCTGCCCTTTATGTTAAAATCTTATTGCTTTTAGATGTGTTAAGCTTTTTGTTTGATACATCTTAATCGCTTTAATATCTTAATGTAGAGTGGTATCGGAGTATTAGCCGATACATGCTAGATCTATCTTATCGGTTATGCTATGAACATATATAACCTCATTGTTAATATATATTTCGATCTAAGTGATTTATACTGTCTCGGCATGGCGACCGATCTATCCCAATCACTTGATTTAAGTATATATCGACATAAAGATTGTATATTGTTACTAACTACAGCCGATCGAATAGATTTAGTCTTTCTTTATTTATTTATGACTGCCGATCGATGCAAAGATGACATCGGCTCGAAGATAAATGGTACGTCATCGGCGGCTGGCCGATCGGCTATCATTTACAGACTAACTACTATTTCTTTGTCTTTATTTCTTGTTGATTGCAGGATCAAATCAACTGACACGCTCACGAACCTCAAAGGCAAGATTTTGGACCTGCACTGGAGTTAAGCAGATCTCCGCCTCGTGTTTTTACATCAACACGCTTTTGGCACGCCCAGTGGGACCCGAGTTTTTAACGACTTCATCCCGATGGCCAAAAAACCACCACCATCACTGGGAACAGGAGTCAAACCTCCCGTAAATAAAACGGGGGGCAAAAATCCATCAGCTGAAGTGGACCCAACCAATATTGTTCCAATCACATTGGATAGGTTGATAGCTGAGCAAAGGGATGAACTTGAACAGATGATGAGCAACGTGAAGAACAAGTTCATGGATTCTTTTCAGGAGACCCGCAGAGGAACCATCGTACAAAAATACAAGCTGAAGGTGGTCGCAGCCGATGAGGTCGGCCCAAGTTCATCTCAGGGTGACAAAGGTACTGCAATTGGTTCAGGTGACAAGAGTGATATTCCTCAAGATGGTACAGTTGATGACCTTGGCGCAGACGACAATCAAGAACCGTTGTAGTTTAATAATTTTCAAGATAGGATCAACTATGCTGTGCAACATGCCTTGATCAATCAATCTGGAGTATTAGTTAATACTTTAACCAACATGGTGAAAACTGTTGTCGATGGTTCGATAGCCGAGCACCAAGCCTCAGGACCAGTTTATCTACCAGGTGTTTTTTCCAAATTACAGACCTTTGGTTACAGCAAACCAGCAGAATGCCTCCAGAGCACTACCGGCTCAGCCGACGACTTCAGTTTCAGCTATTGCACAAGCTACGTCATCAGCCCCAAGGCAAATGGTTAACCCTAGATTGTTGACCAGAGAACAGCCACAACATGCTAGGCAAAATGTCAATCGACTAACTCAGGAGCAAGTTGCTGCAATGTTCTTGCCAAATCCGACAATAGCCGACCCAGCACAACCGCTGACAACTCAGCAAGCACAACTGAGACAGCAGACGGTTAAGCCGATTCAGTAGCAGAATTTACAGCATGCGTCGGCAAGGTTGAGAACACCTGACAATCGGCCAATACAGCATCATGCGAACCAAGTTATTCCTGAACACTTGGTCCATCACGTACAGGCCGATCAGTTAGTTGTGCCTCAGGTTATCCCTGAGCATTTGGTACGAAATATTCAACCGAACTTCCAGAACTATCAAGGAGGAAATTTGAACTATCAATATCAGCCTCCATCACCTCATGTTCAGTATCAGCAGGAAGGATCGCCTCAACCTCAGTTTGCTCCTCAGTACAATCAGTTTGAGCCAATGCAGCAACAAATGCAAGGAGTACCTCAGCAAATGTCATGGGCTGATATGATCACTGATGTAATGAGGGAATAGTTTGGGCTCAAACCAAAAGACACTGGAAATTTATATCGAGATCCTTATCCTGAGTGGTTTGAGAGGGTTCCATTGCCTAGCCGATACAAAGTACCCGATTTCTCAAAGTTCTCGGGGCAAGATAATATTTCGACTTATGAACATGTCAGCCGATTTTTAGCTCAATGTGGTGAAGCATCGGCTATTGATGCTTTGAGGGTTAAGTTGTTTCCTTTATCTTTGTCAGGATCAGCATTCACATGGTTTTCTTCCTTGCCATACAATTCTGTCAATAGTTGGGTTGATTTGGAGAAGCAGTTTCATAGCTATTTTTATAGTGGAATTCATGAGATGAAACTGTCCGACTTAACAACAATTAAACAAAGGCATGATGAGTCTGTGCAAGATTATATTCAAAGATTCAGGGAGATGAGAAACAGATGTTACAGTTTATCTTTGACAGATTCTCAGTTAGCCGATTTGGCTTTTCAGGGGTTGATAGCGCCAATCAAAGAAAAGTTTTCGGCTCAAGATTTTGAGAGTTTATCACATCTTGCACAAAAGGTGATTCTACATGAGCAAAGGTTTGCTGAGGCAAGGAAGAATTTCAAGAAAATCAATCATGTATATCCTTACATGTATGATTCTGATGACGAGGATGATGATTTTGAAGTGGCAGCAGCCGAATGGGTCAAGAGCAAGAAAGTCATACCATGCCAATGGGTGAAGAACTCTGGAAAAGAGGAAAGGTTTGATTTTGACATCACCAAGGCTGACAAGATTTTTAACCTATTGCTTCGAGAAAAGCAGATACAACTTTCCGCTGGTCATATAATTCCATCAGCTGAGGAATTAGGGAAAAGGAGATACTGCAAGTGGCATAATTCTGGTTCTCATTCTACTATAATGATTGCAAAGTCTTTAGGCAGCAAGTCCAGGCAGCCATTGAGGGAGGAAAGATCAAATTTGATGATTCAAAGAAGCCGATGAAAGTTGATGGCAACCCTTTCCCAGTTAATATGGTGCATACGTCTGGAAGGACAGCCGATGGGAGGAATAATAGAAAATTTCAGGTAAATTCGGCTGGGATTATCAACAAATACCAGAGGAAGTATGACAAGCAACAGGATAAATATCATGGAGAAGATGGTGGTTTTGATCCTCATTGGGATTGTGAGTTTTTTAGATTTTGTTGGAATGAATGTATGAGGTTGCCATCTATCGAAGATTGCCCTGGATGCAGTAATGCAAGGAATTCGAGCCGATCCTATTCTGGAGGTAATCGGCACGTGACCGAGACCAGCACACATCATCTTTTTGCAAAACCGTCAGGTTGTAGATATGTAACGTGATAGGGAAGTATGTATTCCATTGATTAGATTTCATGATATTGTACCTAGCAGTTGAGGATATCTGACCTGTGCAAGATCTTGCTCATCTCTATCCCATTTTTGGATTGCTTGCTGTAGATATTTGATAGCGGCAGGGTAAAATTTTCTCCGTAGCATGACTGCTCCCAGCTCAAAATACTCAGTAGCACTTGCATCACCACTTCTCACTTGTTCCTAGTAAAGTTTTATGGTAAATTCCAGTCCAACCCACAGAGCACAGATGAAGATCAACATTTTTAAATGAGGCCACCATACAGGACATGGCAGTAACGTTCATTATGAAGCAAGCAGCATCAGGTATAAATTCATTTATACAAAGAAAAACTGATTTTCAGCAACTCTTATGAACAAGTAGCACCAGTTATAGGAGGATTTTCCCTCTTAATACCCATGTTAACTCTAAAACTCCTTATATTTTGGGACGGAGGTAGTAGCTTTCTTCCATTGTTCATTGTCTATAACAAACTGAACTTCTAAACTCAAAACTTTACGGTGATTCTGAAAGGTTTTGAATATGAAATTGACCTGTGGCAGTACAGTTCGAAATAGTGTTGGCAGCATATTTACCTGCAAATCTTTGGCAGAAAGATCAAGCTCTCTGCGGACAAGAACCTGACGGATGACGAAAAATGTACCAGCTCCAAGCAGACCAAGTAGTATGAGAAGATAAGACAACTGAATTCCAAGCTCGAATAGTTCCCCAACCTCATAAACCATGTTTAAATTTGTTCCTTCACTAGCCTGTGCTGTTTGTGCAAAACTTAACCATGCCATAGTGCAACATGGAAGTGCAGCAAGTTGCAGCAGCAATTTGCTGCATCTCTTCGTGCCAAACGCTTCTGGTGAAAAGGCACATTGTACAGACATATATGAGCAGAACAACTTTGTTCCCAACTGGATGGTGAAGTTTGTCTTTCAAAAAACAAGAGGGAGAAGAAGACCCAAGTTTCATTTATCATATCTGATAAACATGCTTACAGAGTAATTTTATTGAAGTGGACAGTAGCCTAGCCAATTTTGTTTTATATATGGAAGCTAGTAATTTTCATACACACCTCATAACATTTTATTTACCTAATAATTTTCATAACAACTCATAACATTTTATTTTAAGCAGATAATTTAACACCAAGAAGACTATACATAAGAGAGATTCATATATATTTTTAGTTGACTAAACAAACATCATTCTCCAACTTCTACCTTTTCTCTTTCTCGCACATAATTTAGCAAGTACACATTACCCATGAATATTTTTATATTAAAGTATCATCTAATGGTGTAGAGTTTGACGGGGGCTAATGGGCTCTCCTCATTAATGGACCCTTGTCTTGGTTCTGGTTCCACCTCTGTGGTGGGTTGTTGTGTGGTGGCGCAAGTTCATGTACTACTTGCTACTCTTTGACGTGTTTGACATCTTTTTCTTCTTATATTAATGCAATGATAAGCTTCGTACGTATTCGGCAAAAAACTTTTTGATATAGTTTTTTTTATAAAAAAACTTTTTGATATAGTTTTTTTTTATGTTTTTAAAAAATATATAGCATGAAAAACTCATTCAGTTGTTGTATTTTTAATATTTTGTAAATACTATCTCTCTACTACTAAAGCACGTCCGCTCCTCTCCCCAACCACCATCTCCCCCGACCTCTCTCGAAAAAGCTATAGAAAACTAAATGGTGGTTAACCAAAGAACTAGTTAAGTCCAATTTCGAGCTATAGAAAACCAAATGGTGTTTAACGAAAGAACTAGTTAAGTCAATTTTGAGCTATAGAAAACTAAATGGTGGTCAATGAAAGAACTAGTTAAGTCCAATACTTTTATGCTCGATTCACACTACTAGCCGGTTAATTCCAATGCTTTTATGTCAAGTTTTAGATTTAATAAATTGTATATGTAATTGTTATGTGGGTTTATATGGGATGTTTGCATGTCAGGATTTAAGATATATTAATAATTGCTATGCTTGCATATGAATTTTAGGTGTTTAGTGGGCTGTAAGTATATGGAAGTTTGATAAATATAACTAACTTGAGTGCTCTAACCAATAGTTAATAACCTCTTTCAAAAAAAAAAATTAATAGCCTCCCCAAAATGAACTCAAGTGTTGTAATAAACTTGACTTCAAAGAGACTTCATTCCAAGATAAAAGTATTTTTTGGGAAGTTTGATTTATCATTCAATTAGTATAAACTTATTTTGGTATCCATTCCTACCTAAAAGAGAGGATTGGTTTATTAGCTCGAGAAGACATAAATCATCATATTACTGTATACTAGTAATGAAATATTTGAGTCAACAAAAGCCAGATATCTGGCTCATGGTAAAAGAAAAGTATACCCAGTATAGATCTTACTCACACAGATGGCTTTATAATCAACATTGCTTATTCGAAGGATCATTTACGTATTTTCTTAACCTCACCAGTACATACAAATAGAAAGATCAGGATCGACATTGGCAAGATATACATACGTACAAATAGAATTTGTGCCACACATTTCAAAATAAAACAGATCAGTAAGATCCATGTTCTCGACATTTACCATTGAACCTCACCTCCTGAAACGAAGAAAACCAACAAGAAAAATCAGCACAATATATGTTGCACCTCCGTCATACTCTTGCCTCGATTTTGAAGGAATCAACGACTGTATGTAGCCTATCCTTGATTTTCTCCCATCTCCTTTCGTTTGCTCCAGTTGTCAGCGTGTAAAATTTGCCTGCAAAATCCAAATCCACAATGAAAATACAATAGATAACAGTGACTACCACAGCATTAAGCAATCCTTGTGGATGCAAGAGTAGAAACAATATAAGCCGATGGAAATATGTCAACAGCACACAATACTTTTAGCAGAACATCTTGCTGAGAGAAAAAGATGTCTGGTAGGAGTCAATACCATTTGCAATGGCAATTGCACCAAGCGCATGTCTCGTGAAATTTGGAGCTTGAGCTGTGAACTCAAAAGTGTAGTAAGTTCGTCCATCAACATCATTCTGCGTAATGACACAGATCTTATGAGTTTAATAATAAAAGAGTAATAAGATATTTCCCTTTGCAAAAGGGAACATGGAGAATAGTCAACAAGTTATTATCTGATTCTTATAACCCAAAGAAAAGTACTTGATAGTCTGCGATCTATTATGAAGGTTTGACACTACAGTTGTGTTTATTTTTCTCTAGGTGATATGTACACAAGGTTTGTAGTGAAGAGTTGCTACATTTTAAAATATAGAATAAAAAGATCACTCCAGGAACAACAAAAAAGTCAACACACTGCAGCAAATGCGTATCATTTAGGAATAAGACCTAACCAGTTCGATCTTAGATTAAATCTGATATATATACAAACAAATAAAACAACCTGCAATTCTATGGGATGATAAAAATGGATTGATGCCCCAAAAGAAGTAGGCAGATGCAGTTTCGTTTCAACTGGAAATAACATAATATATATACAACAGTATCCAACAAAAATACATTTCTGGCATCTCCATATTCCGTGTATTTGCATTTTTAGATAAATGAAGATATGATCACTTATACTCTACATTAGTACTACTTCACATGGCAATTCGATAAATGGCTGATAGCTTGTTGGCTCTACTTACCAGAAATGCACAAGTTTTACAATGCAAAATGAATGAGGTGGATTAGAAATTCTGAATTGCATTATGGCGTGACATCTTGCATGAATAAATGGATAAAAGAGGCACCTCTTTTGCTTCAATTAACTTTGTCTTTTGCGTAGGTGCGGCCAAAACCTTACGTATAAGAGCTTCAGCAACCTAAATACACATCATAGTGGATAAGATTTGGCACCTTTTCATCATACAACTGCAGAGACATGATTTTGACGAAAAGAAGATTAAGAAAACAAAACCTGATCTGGAGGACCAAGCTCACGGATGTCTTGCTTGCTGGTTGGAATTGTGTTGACACTCACACTTTCCAAAGGCTCTATGACATCTTTGTACACCTTATCTTGCCCTTGAACAACCACTTCCTGGATAATTACAAATTCACAATGAAATGAACGAATCGTAATGCAACCTTGCATCATGTGACCCTTTAGCAATGACGGTTTATTACCTGCCATCCAAATGGGTAGAGGAAGGAGTATCCATCCTTCTTGTCGGTGACAGGCAAGAAACCCTTCTTAGCCTCTGCTGCGTCTATACCACATCAGAATGGCACTCAGGCACATGGTTTTCGACCAAACAAACCATTCACAAGTCTGAGTGCTGCTACACAGTCAAGCATTATCACACCTGTACCATTCTACACTGATATTAATATGGAAGAACAACTCACATGCTGCCGGATTAGGCCAAGAGAGAAACATGGCAGCGCCTGCAGCGAGCAACATCCTCCGCCTAGATCTCTCCTCCGCTTCTCTCTTGATGCTCTGCCTTAGCAATAAGGAAACAAATCTCAAATAAGATTGGGTTCGAAACTGAAACACGGTGAAAAAAAAATTACAATTGGATTTGAAAAGATAGGTGAATGAAATGATCAACTTCATGTTTGCGAAAACACACATACAAGTCGAAGAACATGCCTTCACGTGTTAAGTGCTCGGCGAGGGAAAACGCGCACGTGTTGGATGTAGCGGAGGCGCAGGGGAAGCGCACGGCAGCGGCGAGAGGGAAAGCGGAGAAGGCAGGCGCCGCCGGGGCAGAGGTGGAGTGGGTGGCCATCGTGGCCAGCGTTCACCGGAAATGGGAGCGAGAAGGATTTTAGAGGGATTTTTTTTGTCAGAATTAAACTCGGCTATCGGAGTTTTATCGGAATACGGAAATGGGTGGCCATCATGGCGGCGCGCATTTGGAACTTCGGATTTTGGATCAGGATCGGCTTTTGAGTTTTGATGAGAAAATCAATAAAAACGAAAAAATTCTCAAAGTGTTGGTTTGGAAGTGTAGAGGGATTTTATCGGAATTAGACTAATTTCTTGAAATTTTTTAAAGCTTCAAAGCAAACCTACTATTGCGAACTTTAGGACGACACTATTTTTTTTTCTTTTTCGTTATGAGGGCTTTAAACCCATTTTATATAATTTCCATACAAGGATGCGGAAAGACCAAATCCAAAATGCGCCGCCAAACTCACGCTGCAGTTATTATAGTCCCGTCCACCAAATATCACCAAACTATCACAACAATACATTATCGGTCTTTTAACTTAGGAAAGCTTTATATACTCCCAAATTCTATAAGAAATAGTTAAGAGTAAATTCTTTAAACTAATTCATTAATAGTGATAATTTACATGGATTTAATAAGCCTAGCTTGTGCTGCTTTAATGGTGGTCTTTATATAATATTATTAGTAGTACAAGGGTTAGGTGGACTATAAGATATAGTAGTCAAATTGTTGTGTGGACTATTTTCTTTTATTTATCATTTTGCATTAGTTATTTTGTCTAACTTTATTCTTTCTTTTACCAGGCTTTCTTCATATAAATTTAAATTAGTCCTTGCGCAATTAGCATAAAATTTTTCATGGAGACATAATACTTTTCGTGTGAACGATGCACCCTAGAACTTAGCTCCCATCTAAGAGATTGCATCTGTATTAAAGAATATATCATTACCATTTTATAAACCAAGAGCATCTATACTGATTATCCATGAGACGCAAGAAAGTTCTGCAGAAATAGTAATTAAGCACTTGACTACAGAGTTAAAACACATCAAGCCTACCACAATGCCATAATCTTAGATCCATCACCAAAATAAAGGACACGACCAAATCTCTAGACTGACTACAGTTGTGATTCCAAAACTAACACACATAAAGTTGCTTAATATCTGCACACATTAATTGGGTTCGAAACTGAAACACGGTGAAAAAAAATTACAATTGGATTTGAAAAGATAGGTGAATGAAATGATCAACTTCATGTTTGCGAAAACACACATACAAGTCGAAGAACATGCCTTCACGTGTTAAGTGCTCTGCGAGGGAAAACGCGCACGTGTTGGATGTGGCGGAGGCGCAGGGGAAGCGCGCGGCAGCGGCGAGAGGGAAAGCGGAGGAGGCAGGCGCCGCCGGGGCAGAGGTGGAGTGGGTGGCCATCGTGGCCAGCGTTCACCGGAAATGGGAGCGAGAAGGATTTTAGAGGGATTTTTTTTGTCAGAATTAAACTCGGCTACCGGAGTTTTATCGGAATACGGAAATGGGTGGCCATCATGGCGGCGCGCATTTTGGAGCTTCGGATTTTGGATCAGGATCGGCTTTTGAGTTTTGATGAGAAAATTAATAAAAATGAACAAATTCTCAAAGTGGTGGTTTGGAAGTGTAGAGGGATTTTATCGGAATTAGACTAATTTCTTGAAATTTTTTAAAGCTTCAAAGCAAACCTACTATTGCGAACTTTAGGACGACACTATTTTTTTTCTTTTTCCTTATGAGGGCTTTAAACCCATTTTATATAATTTCCATACAAGGATGCGGAAAGACCAAATCCAAAATGCGCCGCCAAACTCACGCTGCAGTTATTATAGCCCCGTCCACCAAATATCACCAAACTATCACAACAATACATTATCGGTCTTTTTACTTAGGAATATTTTATATGCATGATTAGCCTGTTTGACTCTTATTAGACAACCTTCATGTACTACTGTAATGTAATCCCGCACAACGGCACAAGTGCAGTATCAATAAAAAATTCAAGAGAAGAAGAGTGCACATACGGCTCCTTCTGCATCATCGCCGGCGGAGAGAACGTGGGCGGGAATGAGGCCTTGGAAGGAGCGGCGGCCAGCGGCTACCGAGCGGTCGCCGCCACCCACCTCGGACAGCCGGTGCCGCTCGGCGAGGGCGAGAGCGAGAGCGAGAGCGCGCGTGCTGGAGGAGGCGCGGGGGAAGCACGCGGCGGCGGCGGCGGCGAGGGGGAAGGCGGAGGAGGCCGGCGCGGGGGTGGAGGTCGAGGGTGCGGCCATCGTGGCTGGGGTTCACCGGAAACGGGAGCGATAGGGGTTTGGATAAGGATATCTGTCGGTTTTCGAGTTTCGACGAGAAAATCGATAAAAAAAAAGTCCAATTCTCAAAGTGGGGGTTTGGAATTTTAGGGGGATTTCATCGGAATTAAACTAGTTTCGTGAGAATTTTTCCATCACAAGATGAAAGGCATATTCTCAATTCTCAGTGTGCGTCACTCTACAAAAGGCTATGTATCGTTATATACTCCCAAATTCTATAAGAAATAGTTAAGAGTAAATTCTTTAAACTAATTCATTAATAGTGATAATTTACATGGATTTAATAAGCCTAGCTTGTGCTGCTTTAATGGTGGTCTTTATATAATATTATTAGTAGTACAAGGGTTAGGTGGACTATAAGATAGTAGTCAAATTGTTGTGTGGACTATTTTCTTTTATTTATCATTTTGCATTAGTTATTTTGTCTAACTTTATTCTTTCTTTTACCAGGCTTTCTTCATATAAATTTAAATTAGTCCTTGCGCAATTAGCATAAAATTTTTCATGGAGACGTAATATTTCATATTTATAATTATTCTCGATGCTTTTTCATTTTTCAAGAGCTCCGACGCCACAACCTCGAGAGAAAGGAAGGCCCCACCACTAGGTGTCCTTACAGCCACGCGGTTTCCGGCAGCCCGCTTGGGCGGTGCGAGGTGAAGGAGGGAGGGAGGCGGGGTCGTTGCCCATATGAACCAGCTAACATTAATATGTTAGCAACACGTGCAAATATTAGGATTTTCATGCATTAAAAAAATGAACACAAAAAGGGACCACCTAAAACACGCGTAAATATTAAGATTTTTCATGCGGCAAAAATAAATAAACACAAAAGGGACAGCCTAAAGACCAGCTTATCACCTTGTAGTTAAGTAATTAATCTCCATACAAACCGCCCCAAACCCAAGAGATCCTTAGCCTACCATCCTCTAGATAGATAAACACACTACTAATTTCAAATTGTACATAAACATTCGTAGGGTATATCCATCCCTCTGATCAACAACTGATCAAAAGATACAAGCTCTGTTTTTTCATGCAACGAAAACCCAACAAGCTTGCATCCATTCGACAGAGTTAGTGCACATATCCACATACCGAGGCGGCCTCACAGGTTCTCTAGTTCCTCTTCCTGTTTCACGAGTCATCACCTGGATCATGGTGATCTGAACATCATCGTACAGCTTTTTTCTAACCGTAGAAGAATAGCCTGCGCGGGGGTATCCACCACGAGCAAGACAGAACACAAGGCAGTGATCACAGCTGTGATCATCGTCATCATCCTGACCAACCGAAGCAAAGCAAATCATGCTCCTCTCCCTGACAATCTTGCTCCAAGCCCTCAAGAAGATAGGAGCATCAAGGTAGTATGAACCATCGTTCTCGCTGACGACCAATTCGAAAGCAAGAATGCCTCCATCGAACAGCGTGTATACGAAGCCATGGATGCATAGAGACCTAACAAATAATGCGCCGTAGCGATACCATTGGCATGCCTTCACAATGTTGAGCAACAAGCAGTCAAATGTTGCAGCATCCGATATCATAAAACTGCGTCGATCGAGCACGACAAACCCGGAGATGATAATTTTCGCAGTCAGATCTGTGCATCTTGAAGTTGTCTCATAACGAGTCCATACCGAATTGTGGCGTTCTAGCACATACACAAACTGCAGGGTGTCAGCTAGACCAACAAACCGATTGCCAACTTGAAGAACCACTAAGAACCACACACCATTAAGTCGATCTGTTGTCCTGAAGGGATAACTTGACTTCAGGACCAGATCAATCACTTGCATCTCGCTCTCCGGTGACGATGAAATGCAATACAGCTCTGATCCTGTGTGAAATTCCTGACCAAAGTTGACCTGTGTCCTTCACCTGGGATGAGAATTTCGCATGCAAACTGCAGATTATCATTATCTTACTTGCTCTCTTCAATTGTGCTTTTGGAACATTAGAAGACGGTTCCCTAAGGTGTCATTTGGAGGCCAATATCCTGGCCATGCACTAGACCATCCAGATGAGGCATAAAGTAGAATCCCCTCATTCTTCCTCTAACTGTTTCACCTTGTCTGTCAGGTGTACAATGCCCTGGGAGTCAGCTACAAACGGGATAACAAACTCGACAAGGCGATCCAGCAATTTGAGAAGGCAGCCAGGCTATGTGACAGCTTGGAACAACCTCGGGAACGCGTACGTACGAGCAAAAGAAAGATCTGAAGTCCGCGCTCAAGGCATTCGAGGAGGTGCTCCTCTTTGATCCGAACAACACGGTCGCCAGGCCACGCCGAGATGACCTGAAGCAGCGTGTGGGCATGTACAAGGGAGTCCCAGTGAAGTCAGAAAAACGATAGGTCCTGTGAGCGTGTGGTAAGGGGGGTGCGCTCGCTCGCAGGTGCGTTAGTGTGGTGTGCATGTGTGCATAATGGTGCGCGCACTATGTAATTGGGGCGAAAATTTTAGAAAAAACGGTAGGCCAGGTCTCAAATTTGTGTAAAATCCTTGTCTCATCGATTTTGAACGGTAGCATCTGTAGAAAGCATGTGGAGATGATCCCTGCAACCTGTACGCTATACTACTTGTAGAATTTTTGGCCTGCCGGTGCCAGATGTAAATTCTCTCCTGGAGTTCATCATTCGATGGGATCACTCATGCTCCCTAATGGAAGTAAAGGAAAAATTAGATAGCAAGGCCATCGGCACACTGCAGCAGCTGAAGAGGGAACGACAGTCGTAACCGGAAAGAACATTTTTTTTTTGTTTATAAATGTTGATTGTCCCTTGTTTTTATGGAAATCATTATTTGCTCATACAAAATTGAACAGACTTAATATAGAACAATAATAAAGATGAAATTACACCGTTGGTACCACAACTTATCACGATGCATGCAAGTTGGTCATTCATATTGTAAACTAGACGGTATCTCGCGCATTGTCGTGAGAAGCAACTGTTTACACCCGAATTTGTCACCTAGGATTAAAATAGAAAGAATTGCCAAAATTTAGAAGTTTGCCGGTTTTCTCCGAGTGGGCCGGTCAGACCGCCATGTGTTGGCCGGTTAGACCGCCGGTTGAGGGCCGGTCAGACCGGCGGTGTGTGGCCGGTCTGACCGGCAGGTCCGAGTCCGAGTATGTTTCGTCGGGTCTCGAAGTTTCCTTTGGTTTCCTTTGGTTTCTATCCCTAGTTGGACGTGGAGGAGGGCCTATAGTGGGGTAGTACACAATAGTACTATCCCTCCCTCCCAAAAATAAGTTTTACTCTAGGATTTAAAATTTGCAAAATAATTATCAAATATCTTTAGATAGTATATCCTTCCTCCAACTCCCAATCACACCTCATTTAATGAGGGGCCTGGACATCTAGATTGTTTTCTTTTTCCTGCTAATTTGTCCCAATGAATGCTGGAATTATAATTATTTTGGTATGGGAGTTGTCGGTGATATGGGACCGGGAGTATCATGACCAGAGGCTTGAGGCAGACACAATCGCCCACGTGGCCTGGCACCTTCGGGGACGTCGGGCCCGAGGGTGAGGTGTCCGCCCTCCTCCTGATTTCCCCCGAGGGGGGGTCGGGTTGCGCTTGCCCCGGCCCCGAGGGCCGAGGCACCCCGACCCCTTAAGGAAGTCTGCGCCACACATATGGGATAAGTGAGCACAGCTGTGCTCACCTAACAGCATTTATTGCAGTCTGGTCAAGCGTGTCACGCTGCATGCAACGCAGTACAGCGCGTTCCTTTATCCGGTCTGTGACCAGTCACAGACCGGTCAGATCACGGGTTAGGTGGCGACAGGCGGTCAGACGCATGCTTCGCCCCATCCTGTCTAGACGAGAGCTTCTAGGCACTCGTCCCCGGCTGGAGCTAGCGTGTTATATCCCAGAGATGACACGTTAGCCCCGGTCGATTTATACCAGGCTTCATCCTAACCATTACAGGCAAGATGTTGTGTGAAGAAGGGCAAACATGCAAGTTGCTAGGCTGACGCGTGGTGGGCAAGAATGACCGATTTGTGACCGGTCTGACATTGGTCATGTCATCGGTAGACAGCCACGTTCCCACGACGCGCCTGCCTCCGGCAGAAATGGAGGTAGGTGTGTGCTGTCCCGTCGGGAAGATGTTCGGAGGACGACCGTGCAAATCTCGGTCCATTGATGAAGAGAAAAAAAGTCCAGTTTGGAAAGAGAGGGGCGCATGTGGTATCCCCTTGAAGTATAAAAGGAGGACCTTGCCCATAGAGCAGGGGGTTGGTTGATTGATTCTTTCCAGATTCAGAGCCTAGAACAAGGGATAGGCCGGCTCACACTTTGTAGCTCCTCCATACACAAATTCACAAAAACACAGGAGTAGGGTATTACGCTTTGCAGCGGCCCGAACCTGTATAGATCGCCGTGTCTCGTGTGTCTTGCGGGCGGGTAATCTTTCCACACTCGGAGAGAGAGAGAGAGAGCTTGGGATTGCACCCTAAGCCCCTGGTCGAACTGGCAAAGGGGGGCTTGCGCAGTCTCCCGGTGAGGGGCCACGAGCTCCGTCATCTGGCGCGCCAGGTAGGGGGCTCAGTGTGTGTTTTCTGAGCTCTCATACTCTTCCGTGTGCGCCAAGTTTCCCTTGTTCTGCCTAATGGCCGAGCAAGCAAAGGCGCACGACCTCTCTCCGAGTGTGAGCGGCGACGACGGGGAGCCAAACCCGCGCCGTCGAGCTCGTACTCCCCCACCTCCTCCACGCCAAAGTCCTAAGCAGGGGGAGGCGCTCGAGAGGGTTGATAAATCCGCAGCATCACCGGTCGCGGGTGATGCAGGAGAACGGCGAGATGGGGAGCGTCGCCTCCTCGTCTACGGCGACGGCAGCACGCCTCAGGGCGCGCTTCAGGCTGCTAGCGCGCTCCTACGTCACCCACCCGTCGTCCATGACCCTGAGTCTCCAGCTCAGCGATGGCTGGACGACGTGGCCAACTTGGTCGTGACGGCCCAGCAGCGCCTGGGTGCTGGTGGACGGTCCGCCACCACCAAGACTTCCGGCGCCGCCACCACCGGTTCCGTGTCATCAAGG